AATAAATTCCTGAGTTTGTGCTTTACAATTTCCATTGGGCAAAAATTCCATAATAAATCTCAACGAAAAGTATTGGACTGAAAACATGATAACTTACATGTTTCAGTCCAATACTTTTCTTTGAGATTTATTATGGAATTTTTGCCCAATGGAAATTGTAAAGCACAAACTCAGGAATTTATTGCCACCAAAACGAAATCAATCCATTTTGTATTAGCTGCAAATTAGAAGTTTTGGTGACAAAAATCATTTACATTACTGGTAAGTGGCGAGCAGGAAAAGTCAACTCGCTCACTAGGATGCACAGACTGTACCCGAACTCAAACTTTAAAGCGTTGAAGAAGAAGAGTGCTAATAGATTTACAACTTCTAAACGAACCACCACCTTGTACAGTTAGTGCACCAACGCATCCGAGGCAATAGGAACGAATCAGGGCAAGCTAGCAGATTTATGAGCAATTTACAATCAATCGCATTCACCTCTGCTATGGCTTTACTTTTATTGGCTAAATTAACCCAGCAGTGACCGTACAAGTCCCCTCATAAGACTTGGCTCAACCTCATATATAGCAAGTCTTATACTAACTAATATGAAGGCGACTATGCCGCAGAGTTAAATGCTTATACGCACTGGGCGATGATAAACTTTGTTAATAATGTGCAATTGAGAAGTAAATAAAGTTGTATATATTTTATTTTTATTGGTTGTGGTTAGATTCATGATATTTGTGTGATTTCAATTCAGATGGTGGTGCCGTTAAGACAATGATGATGATGGGAATAAGCGACAAGACTCGTTTCAGCTTTAGTTATTAGGCGAGTAATAGTGTGAGCAGTGCCATAAGTAAATGAGTGCCTTATTACTTATTATATGACACCTTAATAAAGTGTGGGTGCTCGGACTTGGTGCATGATGGTGGTGGTGATTGTTTCGGATTATAAATGCATAAAGTAATCATGGCTGTGAATAAAGAAATGGAGGTGTTGCTTTATTTGTTCTTCAATAAAAGTATACAATGCGTGTAATTAATTGGGTTGCTGGTGGAAATTTGTGGTGGGATTACATACGCTCTCGTGTGGATACATTAATGGGTCATTTGCAGATACATGTGCGTATGAGTCGCAGGCGGAACGGATGTAAATATGCAAATTAATTTAAAATGGAGGAGGAGCTTTGCTAAACTATCACTCATTCTGATGTGATGTGACGGCGTTAATGGAAAACGAGGGGACTTGGCAGTGCGGAGAAAGTCACTACTTTTTACGCATTAAAGAGAAAGTTGAACATTTCCTCGTCCTCTCCTGACTTGCGGAAATGAAGGAAAAAACGTTTTGATTTAGCATCTCTCTGAGCCCAAAGTGGAGCTGAGGAGTACTAAAATGTGGGTAAATCCGGGATTTTATGATGTAATAAATCCGTAAATCAATCCAAATAATAATTTTCTTCCAGTCTCAGATACCTCGAGTCTGAACTGGAATAGATGTATAGCACCGTATTCAATTTTCATGACATTCTTCCTACAAAGTCGTTCATTCATTCTCAGCCATTCTTCGTTTTGTCATCAAACAATCCTGTGTACTGAAACAGTTGGTCTTGATGTATGGCACAAGACACAGAATTGTTTGTTTTTCTAGGAAAACTATAAATAAAAAGTTCAGGACTCACTTAAACCTAAACCCAACAAGAAACGGAGGCAAGTAGATAACATGAGTATCAAATCATGAAATCAGGATGCTGCATTTTAAACAGATGGTCAACAGCATTATCAAATTTCACAAGAAACCACTATTCCAAAACTGAGACATTGAGAAGAGCGTCTCAATTTTGCAGAAATTGTAGAGATATTGCTATCATCTCGGTGATTTCGAATTTCTGGGAGTACGATTGATCCCAATTTCTTCAGAATTCTCTATCCTTTTCTTATCTCTCCATTCCAACAACTTGAGCTTGTCAACACTTTATAAGGATCATTTGTGAAGAACGTGACCAATTTGAGGTGGATTTCCCGAGTAAGAACTGAATCACCAGCATGTGGCGAGTTAAATCCAGTCAAAAATATGAAACGCTTCTTATGGACGGCCCCAATTAGGAAATAAGTACGACCCAGTTTTACCTTCTCTGCGGTTAAGTCGTCTCACAGATCTTGAGCATATCGCTTAAATCGACACGAGAAATGAAATGAATAAAGGGCACATGCCAAACCGCTTCACCACACGCAACCACCAACCACGAATCCTTCAAACAATCCTGTTAAGACGTTTTTCCTGTCGCGATAACCAGCAAGGAGTCAAATAAGCTGAGGAAGAGGAAGACGGAAGTTGACTCTTGACTTTGATTTTGGGATAGATACGAATATTTGGTTAAATGATACGAATGGATGGATGGGCGATGTAACAGTTTTTGGCCTTCAATGCAAATACATCTCATGGCACGACTTTCCAAATCGATCCTCTTGTCAGCCGAGGAGAAGAATAATGGATAAAAAAGAGAGACAGGCCGTTGTGGGGTGGGGCATTGTACGTAAATAGCATGATTCACAACAATCACTGCTGATAGCTGGCTGGCTGGTGGTATTTATTTCCTCCATCGGGTGAAATATGGATCTGTCACCCTCCCAATTATCCGCACAACGAGTTAATCTCCTTCCTATCCACCGAGAGAAACGAATAATGAGACGATGGGGACACATTTTCTCCCAACCACTGGAACAAACCGTCACTTTTGCTTGCTGGGGATCAAGTCCACTCGCAGCACGAGGACTCGTTCTGCTGCGATAATAATAACAATAATTACTTATTGTGCGGCCAGAAATTAAGTTGAAACGATCAGCTAGATTTGCAATGGACGTTACACGACTAAATAAATAAATGCACAAATGTTGCATAATACGTATGTAATTTGCATATGAAAAATAAAGTCACAAATCCAACTTTCTAAATATGCACCGTCTTAAGGTTAATGTTTTGCTTCTGGTCAGCAAAGTCCAGCAGGATTAAAATCAGTGTCCTCAGATTGAGATGACAAGGTGACGACGGGGAGAGAGAGATGTAATTTATGATTACCAAGATTTTGCCTGAAATGTGTACGAAGAAACAGTGAAAAGTCATATAGATAGGAAGGTAGTGGTGCCTTTTCTGGTGCTAATGGACCATGAGCCTTAAAACTAAAGGCCCGTGCCCGTTATACTTTTCATAGGGACAAGCTCCCTCATTATCAGTCAGTAGTCATACTTGGCTTGATTTATTATTGTTCGCTTGATTGAAAGTGGGCATATGTTGGACGAAATATATTCACTCGTCGTCGTCCCACTACTTCCTTGCTACTACGATTCCGTCACAATCCGGCTCCAGCCAGATGGACAGATTTGACAGGTTATCTCTTCAAAAGCATAAAAATGAGGAGTATGAAGCCTCACGAAGAAATATGAAATTTGGGTCGGTCGTCGTGTCGGTTTTGAAAGTGATACCAAGACAAGAGTGACTTTTGACTTTTAAAATGAAAAGTTAGTTTGACTCGTGCTGAATAACGGGCTTTAATTGCATTGCATTTGACTGCTGAAACAAAGTGAATTTCTTCTTATTGAGTTGTTTGGCTTGGAATCAACTTCTGTCCAGCCTTGTGCTGTCACTTTTGGGCCGACGGAGGAGAGAGTTAGACGGCGAGGAGGAGGGAGGAGAAGTGTAATAAAGAAATTAGAGGGGCTGAGGGACCCGAGTTAATTATAATTATTGTGATTGCCCCTGTAAAAATTAGCGGCTCACAGGCATCCTCCTTACTTATACTCGGTCCACTTGTCACATTAATGCAAAACCACAAACTAACTGGATTCTAAATTGCGTGCATCCAATAAAAACATGACGAAAACAATTGGTTTTCATTACTCATTTAATTTTATGAGTGGAAAGTGAATGCCAGAAAGAAATCTGGTTGGTTCATGACGCTCTCAAGTCAGCAGCTTTCTCTCCGAATGGAAACGGTTATTTCTTTCGCGAAGGCAAGAAATGTGGAGAAATACAACTTTTCTCCTCTTCTCGAAGGATAAGCTGGATAAAATTCATGGTGAATAATAAGATAAGACGCTCCTTAAGCAGAGGAAGAGAGGTCGGCCGACTGGTTGGCTTGGGCTGTGAAATGAATGACAATTATAGGTTTGAACTGCCAGGATTGCTGTCGTCTCAAAATTATGAAGTGGTGGGAAGAAAGTGGACTCTGTAATGTCCCCTTCTTCCTCGCAACATTATAATAATAGGGATAATCCAGTGGAAAATTATGCGGAGGGAGAAGTGGGGGGATCATCCACAGGACGGACTTTTGCTGGTGGTGCGGCTGTGAGGACGTGAATCCGGAAGAGGAGAGCGAGTGACGTGAAGTGCGAGAAAGCTGGATGCATGGCTACTTTACGGGAGAAATATTATCATCTCATCTTTTTGGCATGTATCTTTCGGGAGCAGTAAAACCATTATGGTGACAGGTATATGACAATCTTCTCAAACTTTTCCGTGTCATTATTATTGCAATGGAGAGAGAGAGGGAATAAGAGAAACTAGCAAATCTCCCTCTATGCAAGTCACCAGCCTTAAATCTGTATCGTCCTGTTACACACGAGATTTGTGAGACTGTATTTATCATCGACTTCTTCATTTATGCAGCAATATCACACAGTGTCAGAGTTCGGAATATTATTTTCTGAATTTTTATATCCAGTTTGTCCTATAAATTTGGCTTAAGTTTCCGAATAATAATTACAAGCATAACATATTATTCAATGTTACATAAAGTATTTTTTATTAATGTGGAGAGATCAGTATAACCAACCTATTTACAATAACAGGACAATGATAACAAGATGTTGATCTGTTCATGCATCACCACAACACATCACATCAACACATACAGCACAAGTTTGCGTACACATTTTCTTAAATTTCGACCTTGACCACGACCATATGTATTAATACTTAATGGTAAATTACCATTGGTAATGTGTGTTATATGTATTGATCAACCACCACTGCATGAACTGGTTACAAGTGATTTCATAGCTTCGATTAGCAGTTGTCATGTGCTTGTTCATCTTCTCGTACTCACAACGTGCAATTATCACTGCTCTCTTTTCAACAACTCGATTTTTGTAATAGTTTCTCACACAATTAAAAACCATCTCGAAAAAATGAGTCCCCTTTCCATCAACCAAGTGAACGAGATGGAGTACGAAGACTTTATCTCCACTTTCGGCAACGTCGTGGAACACTGTTCCCTCTTCGCCGCAGCCATTTGGTCACAACGTCCATTTCATGGCGTGAAACAGCTTCACAAAACATTCTGCGACTTTATCGACACTCTTCCGAAACTTGGTAAACCATTTTTACTAATATTTTGCATTTGTCAGTGTCCCTAATAAATCTGCTCCTTCGTCATTCTCCATTCAACTCTTTATCCAGTTGGGTTGAGCTGACTTTGTTTCTGAGTGAGCAACTTGTAAACTTTTTTGTGGGGGCAATAAAAATTAGGGGCAGAATTGGGGGACGGGAAACGCCGAAGCGAGTAGTTGACAACGGGAAGCATTCAATTAAGTGGAACTCATCCAAACAACAAATCAACAAAGTCGTGATGAATATACACAAGTGAACTTCCGTGCAAACTTTTACTTTCGTATGTCATGCATGCAGAATAGTGCTGCTGATGATGCTGTTTCTCGGATTTGGTAGCTAGTTTTATGACTGGACGACAATTATGGCAAAAAATAAGTAAAAGTCTAGAAAGGTTTAGAAAAATAAATAGGACGTACAATAGCAAATTCATCATTCAATTGTGTGAGGCTGTTAGAGTTAAAAAACACAAAAAATCAAGTTTTACAACGCGTTATTATTATTCTTCTTCAATCTCCGTACATGACATGACACGTTCACAAAGAGATGGGAAAGGAATACGTTTAAGGTTTGGAAAAAATCTGAAATATTCGAGACCACACGCACCACGACACGACGTTTTTGATCCATCCGTAAATTTGTAAATGTGTACATACTGACTTGTGATTTAGTGGAAAGAATGCGAAATATGTACATGCACAAAAAACGAGAAGGATAATTTTTAGATTAAAACGGTTCCTATTTTAACCCAGGCAAGGAAGGGATTCTTCGTTCCCATCCGGACCTTGCAGGTCGCATAGCGGAACGGGGTCTTCTGACCACGGAGTCGACCAAGGAACAATTAGCGGCTGAACTGAATACTTTAACCCCCGAGGAAAAGGCCAATCTGACCCGGCTTAACGAAGCGTAAGTCAAGATACAAGACGAAGATTAACATATAGGAAAATACTGCAAGATGAGAATGACTCGAGCTGCGGTATCCAAGCGCAAACCCGCACTGCCACCTTCCCATCGCCAACTTGACTCTCGTTAGTGATGGGGCAAGCTAGAGAGCGATTCCATCCAACCTTTGCCTCGTTCAACTTGTCTTACAAAAGTCTCAATTTGCTTCGTTTTTCCAATTTCAGATACAAAACCAAGTTCGGTTTCCCCTTCGTAATTTGTGCTCGAGATAACAAAAAGGCTGCAATTTTGTCAGGTTTGGAAGCCCGGTTGGAAAATGAGACCGAGAAAGAAGTCATCCAAGGAGTGGAAGAAGTTAAAAAGATTGCCTTTTATCGCTTACTCGATATCCTACAGCATGAAGAGGCCGAGAAATTAATTGGCGGATGGTGACTAATCAATCAACAATGACTGTCATGAAATTGGATCACGTTAAAGAAACTCTGCCTTTATTGGAAACTTGTTAATGCAGAAATTAGGTTACAACTTTATGTAATTTGGTTTTCAAATGTTGTCCAATAAAATTACTCCATTCGAGCAAATATCTTATAATTTACCCCAGAAATCTAGATAACTAGCTGCACATGAAAAACCTGCCAATTTTTTGGCGAATAAAATTGTTCCAGGAGGATACACATAATCGCACTATTGAATGCAAATGAGATGTACCATAATGTGGTCTCTGTAGCAGTTTTATATATGCAACACAGTGGTGATCGAGTGCTTCGTGTTGTGGTGTCATCCACTAAAAGTTGGTACTTCTTAACCATCCTCAGCCATACGTGAGTGCGACGATGATGATAACGCCACACATGCACTGACTACAGCCTCAGCTTATGTTTTATGATGCTCAACTCACTCGCTCATGATTTCGCTCTCTCGTCACATTGCAACTCGCTGAATCAGTTTGTTTTTGCACAACGACTTGGGCGGACTGGACCGTACGTACGCGTCATCTAAAGTAGTCAGAGGTCTTGGCTGTACTCCGTAGCATCATCGTCACTAATGTTGGAGGGATAAGTGTGCAGCAGCGGATAAGTCCGAGTCGCTCGAGAGGAAGGTGCGTCCTATTTCCCGAAATTGTCCTTTAATGGGTCAAAACATTGTTGTATCATCAAACAAGTTGGTGTGAAAGCAGGATCGAAATCGCCAGAAAAGTCCGTGGAGCTCCACTCCCCAGGACGTTATTACAAATTATACGACTCTGGCCGGTGTCTCACCTGCAATAAAGTTAAGGTGACCTTATATTATGTGACATTTATGAGCTTTTGCGACATTGTGGAGGTTTTTCTGCAACTGGGGCAAAATCCTCGTGATATTTTTCGGACATGCCTGAATATTATTTACTACGGTGTATGTGAACTCGAATTGGTAGTGATGTGTTCGTAATAATAATACTTAAAGAAGTGGAAAATAGTCAGTCGAGGATCACCAGTCACTACAAAACGATGCTCATGACACGGACACAACAATGTGGAACTGCATTCAACCACCTCCACCAGGACGACAGGAGGCGAATAATTCTCGTCCTTGGTAAGTGGGATTTTTTATTTTGATCTTGACTCGATGCTTGTTTTACTACTTGGGAATTAGATAACTACGTACGTACCCATTCCGACTGGAGTGGATGGAATGAAACGCGTGTGGTAGTACATACTTTTGGGTAGCAAATTAAAGTAGCTGCACGTCAACATCTCTCTCTCTTTATTATTTCTCCCTTTAATGAATAAACTCGTTTAAGACGGCAAAAGTTGAATGCATTATTCGTGTGGAATCTAGTTTTCCAGTTGTCCGAGATTTTTTTGGAACCACTGTTGCGTAGCTGGTTACATCAAGTGGACTAGCGTGCATGTATTTTCTGTTGTCCTGCAAATGCATGTTTCAATTTAAATGGGGATTTCTATTTAATCTACATAATAATAGCATCGAAATAAATAAGTAGTTGCAAAAATTGTGGGAGTAATGGGAAAAGGATGCATGAATCGAAACCAGGGTCACAATCCAGCAAACCAAGTTAAATACAATATTATTTTCCATACGTCCGTCCGCCCGTCGCCGTTTTACCTCCTGCTAAATCTCCTTTCGCGAATGGGAAAACAGCCAGCCAGGCCTGGCCATTTAATGTCGCTCTTCAAGATGTTATGGGATGTGTGGCCCACTAACTTACTCATCTTGTGAGAGATACGTACGGATCGTGGTCGTTTCATGTGATCATGAAAATTTGCTGGACTTGTACATGCATGAACTCGTTCCATTAATGAATTAAAATCGAGTTGACACATTTATGTATAACTGATTACGCAGCTACTCGGTAAATAGTGTCGGCTTATGTTTTTGGGCATTTACATACGTTAAGATATTGTTGATGATTTAATTAGCAAAAGTACTTGGAAATTAGTGGGGAAGTAGTTTGGTATCAGACCAGAGATAGAGATTACGTACTTATTAACAAAGACACGCCTTGTGGACAACGTAATGTCAAAGATGCTGGGATTCCCATTTTCCAGAAAAATCTTGGATGACCTCAGAGTAATATGAGAGTCCCCATTTTAAGAAATTGCATTCCTCCTTTCCTCCTTATAAACTGATACAAAATATCACATGAGCATACATAATGTGCGAAAGTCGGTCGAAAAGACCTGCAAAATTTTCCTTTTGTTTGTTGATACAAGAAAAAACGGGGCATCTCACCAACTTTCGACTCTTTGAAACATTTTCACCACACACGTCAAAGTCTTCTTCTCGGGGGAAGGAAAACTTGAGAAAATCCGGGAACGAAGAGGTGACTACGTGCCATGTACATGCATAAAAGCAGTGCAGTGGGCAGAACAAAACGACCCAGGCTGAATTATTAGTTACCACTCAGAAAACCGAATTCGTCTCAAGTTTGTCCCGAGATTTTGCGTTGTTTCATTCATTTACGTATTCTCGAAAACTTCATGGACGGAAATCTTTTCAGTTTTTATATGAATTGCAATGAGTTGAGTGCAACGGTCTAAAAGAATGCGGTCACAGTTTACCAACACACTTGTTGTTATTTTATATACCATGTATTTATGTATGGATTAAGCATTCTTATGCTTACCCAAATGCATACGTACGTACGTACACAAGATAGTTGCGCATATATGTTATCGAAAGAGATAAGCCACAGCGAGGACAGGAAGTACCCAGGCAAGACCCATACATGTTGTTGTTGGGTTTCTTTTGTCAAATTATTATCAAAATGTGGCAGCATGAATGGAGCGGATGGTGACCACTGCATGTTGTATTGGTTCCGTTAAAATGTGTTCCAAACTGGTAATTTGTATGCTACAGACAACACGACGTTATGAAATTGAGCAGCAAAACTATTCAAACGCATTTTTGTTCTTGTTTCAGAATTATGGAATAATCTTCCCGTAACAGTAACCTAGTCGTAGTCAGTCATTTTCAATCTGTGATAAAAATATGGAGGGAGACGTTAGTATTATTTTTTTTAAACGTTTCCATTCAAAGAAAAATAGTGGAACAATGGCATTTTTAATATGGGGGAATAAAGCAGCGTTTCTCCGAAGTCACCAAGTATGCACACTCGTACAACTAGCTAACTTTGCTATCACACTCGCAAAAACAAATATGAAAAGCAAATATTTTAACTAAACATTTCATATTCGTACACATTCTTTTTTGGTTTTGTTTGTAAAGTTAAAAAAAAAACTCAGTAAAATCATTCATACAAAGTTTTGCATTCATTCATGGTGTTGGACAATTCATAGATATTTCGTCGTCCGTATGGCCAAAAAGTTGTGTAAGGTGGTGTGGCTGGTAAGCGTGCCTAGGTTTCTTGTCCCAACGGTTTTTTAGTTCCAAGAGAAGTCAAATATTTTGATGGGCGAGAATGGAATTAATGTACACAATCCAGGAAGGAAGAAACGCTAACAAAATATCAACAAACTAAAATATTGCAGACAAATTTCCACCAATTTTCCTTCATCCAGTCCAAAATCCTCCCCTTATCGCGTAGAGTCGTGGTTTCGTTACATTTGTGGTCGTGCGTGGAACCATTAAACCTTTCTTCATTTCTAAATATACAAAAAATTGTGCTATCCATTAACATTCATGCATGATTAGGACAAGTCTTATGAAATGAATTAAGCAACCTGAAAATATTTGGTGGAGTGTACACCAATTCGGAGAAAATCGAACTGCGTAAGGATGAATTTGGAGTCATGGATTTTTGTGTCCTCCGGAGGACAGTTTTTTGCCTAAATGCGGAGGACATGGGGTCCACAACCTACGGATAGAACCTCGTAAAAATTTGTATTGATTCATTTTCATGAATTTTCCTGTGAGTTAGGCGTCAAATTAAATAACCCAACTTTCAATTTTTATTTTATGGGAAAGACCGCACTAACTGCGCATACAGTTCCATTCAGATTTTCGGAATTCACAAAATCTGGTTAATATCTGATCTCTTTATATTCTTGTACTTCAAGAGGGCTTGAAGGGGCCCTTCCAATTTAACAGTTTTATCAACATATCAATTACAGCAACTTACATGCAGCGTGAAATAAACGGGAGAATATTTGCAACAAGTGTTCTGCGCGTATTTAGGTTGGACGACTATATGCTAATAATTTTGCCAGTATTTTAACCTTGCACTTGAGACTTGCCTCTGTTTTGCCGATCTACAAAATCAACACGTTGATAGATAATGTATACGAGTACGAACTACATAATAGCGTATTTACAACCTGTTGGGTCTAAATACTTGGCTCAATAACATCATAATCAGTATTCGCCTCTCCGACTTATCAATCAATTTATGAATTACACGCAACTACAACTCCATCCAGGATTTATCGCTGGGTACAAAAAAATCCATGCAATTATAAAGATCATCATCGCCATGTCAGGATGAATTAGTGAGTTGTGTAGGGTGCTTGTCATCCATTGAGTTGTGTGCACACGTACATATTTATTTACAGCCAGACCAGAATTGTACACATTTGATGCTTAAGAGGTGGACAAACAATCGGCTCCAACAGTTCATAAGTATTATTAAGCATATAAATATAGCCAAGTTATAAGCTCGTCTTTGCAGTTTGTTAAAGTAATTGTCTCCAACCCAAGGTCAACTATGTGCATGCATATTGGCACAAGTCAACTCAAGCAGTTTTGTACCTGATGCACACATACATTAGCAAAATTCGCTCTACAGCAGTCTCACTATTTTGCATGCATTTTAGGTAAAACACTGGACTCGTGAGATTCCTCTGCATACTCAACTCCTTGCAATATCATTCTTATTGCTTATTTTTTAAAGAGTCGTCTCGTCACATTAAAAAGCAGAGGCACAAAGGAGGTCCAGGAATTGGGTGGCATTGTACTAGCGCATTTTGAATTTATTTATAAGTAATCGTCTACGAATGATGATTTGCCAATGTCAATATTTTAATAGAAATGTATACACTTTTATTTTAATGAAAATTTTATTTGTCTGATTCTGTGAAATGAAATTGTGTTCCCAAAATCGAATTTATAATCTTTCAGCACACTCAGGTAAAGGTCAATGTCTATCTCGTGGGAGGAGAGGAGGCATTCATACGTGTCTGAGTTTACGATTCGCAACGTGTGCAATAATAGCGACAAAAATAGCAAGTGCAGAATAAATAAATGCTTGATTAAGGAAAAAGGTGTATGAAATTGTGACGTCAAAAGTCAGGTACTGGTTTACGAGGAGGTAGACCCAGTGCTTCCCATCCCATTCATCACAACTTTTGCACATACATACGTTTTGTGACGTCATTCATTCTTCTACGATGCAAATAATGCCTTGCTACATGAACAATTAGTCACCCACTGATATGTCAGGATTAGTTTCGACTTGAGGCAGGTATGATGACTGCGATGATGAGGCCGGCAAAAAGTTGACTCCATTTAAAGAAGGGGCGAATTAGGTGGATAAAGTTTTTTTTCACTTTATCTTCTGGGTATCGTTCTCAGAACCATTTTTCACTCTCTACATGCTTGAATAAGTCGTGTTTTTACGGACCTGACACCACATACCTGACGACTCTGCAGCTTTTAACATTATTACGCAAAAGAAAAACGTTTATTATAATCTATGGTGACAATCAGGCTCATTTTGTTTGGGTTGAAGATGTAAAAAAAAATGGGATGAGATGAGCGGATGGTGTATGAATTGAATCATTAGTCCATAATGCTATTTACAATTAAGGGTGATTAATTACGAATTAGCTGGAAATTTGCGTTTAATATTTATACACATCCGCGGCCGTTTGATACCCACTCGGGATGGGTGTAAATTCAGGATGACACTTTATTTAAATAATTAACGCTGGCAGTTTAATTGTGACTTGTTAACTGGTCTTCTGCTTGTAGCGAGGATGGGTTTACAAGTTGGATGCAAGTTTATTGCACATGGACTGCATTTTGATTATGCAGGGCTGGCAGGATGTGATAACTTGTTATCAAAAGCATGTTCAATGATATAAATTTATCCAATTCTGTGATTAGTGAATTCATTCTTTTCATCAAATCGCTCTTTTGACCGTTCGGGATCAAGTGCACTCATGTCTACACATCAAGAATAAAATGAAATTTAATTTAATGCTTTACAATAAAAAATGTCAAGCTTTTTTAAATTAATTACTAATTATTAATTTGCAGTGATGTTCCTAAACTTCGCAGCGAGTGAGGCGCTCGAGCCCCCCGACATTGTGAACCCCGGCCCCACAACGACTGTCCACGTGGGGTCAGATCTCATCCTAATCTGTCACGGGGACGCTCCCCTGCATTGGATTGCTCCACGAGCTGTAAGTTATGCATGTTATTTCATGTCCCGCTTATCATGACTATGGCTGATAAGACATAGATCAGAAGATTCGATGATGTAGTAATCTAATAAATCAATTATATGCTCCATACCCACGTTGTCGTAAAGAATTTGATTCTCATTCGCAAATAACAACAACAAGATACTCATCCCACTTTGTTTGCTTTCTCTTTGTCCTCATCGTCACGACAGATCGACGACCGATTCACCTTTGATCACAAGTCCAACGTCAACTCGTCCTCGGTGTCACGCCCTTACGCCAGCACACTGACCCTGTCGCCAGCCTCGGCGCAGGATGTGGGCGTGTACGACTGCGTCTACAACTCCAGCTCGGAGGAAAGCAGTATTTACGTGTTTGTGGATGGTGGGTTGATAATTAGGCAATCTAAATAATTTGCATATACATATCTATGCACTAACACCATACTGATATTGCTGTCGTTGGGCTTATCTTAACCGGGTAAAGCTGTACATATACAAAAGGCTTGTATTTATTTAGACGAAATGAATCCAGTGGTTGATCTGAACTCGGAATATTCCATCCTCACGGCACATCCCGGAATGATGCTGAACATCCCGTGCAAACCGACCAGCCCCAATGTCACGATTGAGATCAAGTTCAATACCATCGAATATGTAAGCTTGGGGTGATTGTTGGGTGGCTTATTTGTTGGTGGGTTTGGCATGGTTGGTTATTCATTCGTTGGTGCAGATTGTGCTGACCAGGGAGAACTACAATCCTCACATCGGGCTCTTGATTGACCCCGTGCTCACCTCTTCGGACGGATTGTACACCTGCGTGGGGAGACGGGGCAGTGTCGAAAAGAGCAAAATGTGGCTGGTCACGGTCACCCCGGGTAATGTCGCATTGTTTGCTGCTAATCAAGTAAATAGAATGGAGTTGTATGAATTTGTAGTTACGCAATAAGTAATCTGGGGTGCTGGGATCAGTTGTTGCTTTTTGGGAGGGAATTTGGGGCACTGCTGCTTTAATACATTTTATTGAATGTGACATTGAGAAGGTTTAGCATTTATTCTTGTCTCCTCTTCACCAGCTCCGGACAATGCGACGAGCTACACCCTGAGAACACCTTTGATATCTGCCACGGACGAGGGAGTGGTTCAACTAGGATCCAATTTTACCGTGGAGTGCAGAACGGTCGAGGAGAGCTACGTATTCTACAATATCAATTGGACAGAACCGGCTCATGTCATAAATGTAGGAATTCGTTCATATTTATTACAACTCTTGACTTTAATGAAGGAAGTTTCATAACATTATTAATCTGCCCAGTCTGGAAGAGCCACCGTGAGCCTGGACCCGGTTAAAGAGCCCAATTCGTCAGGAAACCGGAAGGCGTTCAAGGCCACGCTCACCGTGGTCAATGCACAACGAGAAGACCGAGGGACCTATATCTGCGCCGTGTGGACGAGCAGTTCGCGTCGAAGCGCGAGCAAATATGTCAACGTGTATGGTACGCAGACGTCGTGGCGGCTTATCAATCACTATGTTTATCCGACATGTCAAAATAGAAAAAAAATCAATTTCCACATTGACAGGTTCCGAGGAGCGTTTTCTGAACGTGACGACGGACAAGACGGACATCGAGGAAAGGGGTGGTTTCGATGCCAAGTGGGTCATCAACATCTCCAGCTACCCCACCGCTCTGGACTTCACGTGGAGAAAGGTCAACAGCGGAGAGATCGGAAGAGACCCTGATGACCCCAAGTACCAAATTGATAGGAAAGGTCCCCTCGTCGTACTCAAGATACTCAACGCATCTCTCAAGGACAGTGGGGCTTATCAGTTTCTAGTTCGTTTGAGGGACTTTAGCGACGTCTTTAAGACGCTGGAGCTCCGCCTTACAGTCCTCGGTGAGCAGATAATGTGTCTCTAATTCATTACATTTAGTAATTCATCATCATCCAATTAATCAATATCGTGTACTTGTTTTTGCAGATAAACCGGAAATTTTCATCAAGCCGAAAGAACCCGAAGCCTACTTTGAACAAGGCAAGAGCTACACTCTGACTTGTTCCGGGCGAGGAAACCCTCTTCCCAGCATTTCTTGGTGGTTCATGGAAATACAAACATTTCAAGAACTCGAGAGACGACCCGTGACCAACGGATGCGTCAACACGAAAGGAATGGAAATGATTAAAGTCAGTTCTTTCTCGTAAATATTTATCAGTTCGGTTTGCACATATGTAGTTAAATGTCAATGGGTGGGCGAAATTAAGAAACCAACAGCATAACTGTGTCTCGATAACTGGACAAATACTTGACATATTAATCCCACTTGACATTTCATCGCCAAAAATCATTTCTAAGCAAAACATACGTTTCAATTCTGTAGCCCATCAACACGACGACGACACCCACATCGACTCTGTCTCCAATGTGGGCTCGAACCTTTGCCTCGGCCACGATATCGTTCCGCCCGACCAAACATGGTGTCTTGGTGTGCAAGGGGAGCAACGACGAAGGCGTTGGCTGTCTCCAAAGAGCTGTTAAAGTGATTGGTAAAAGAATACAACATCGACGCAATTCTTACCATGACGCTCTAGGTTTCTTATGAAAATATGCTCTCCAGACTTTCCTGGCGATAATGGCAATCGAGGATTCGGAGTCTCCGCTCCAGAAGAGTTTATTGATGAGGACCAAGTTCAACTGAGCTGTGCCTTGTCAAAAACGAATGGATGGAAAGAATTGACCTGGCAATTAAAGGATCGTTCTGGAACGTTGAAAGATTTCGTAGTAGACAACAGCTCGGGTACATGGTTTTCTGAACAGGAATAATATTTATGAACCGAAATGTTTACATGTTTCTGTCGGAATTATTTTCAGTGCGTGTGGGCAGCTTGGAAACAAAATGGTCATGGCAGAAGATTCTCACCTTTCCAAAAATCAGTAAAGGACAGAATGGAGAATATGTTTGCATATTGGGCACCACCGGAGAAAATGAGACCGTTCTTGTAAATGTGCAGGGTAAGTGGACAGCTAGCATTTTATATGACACACATTTGCAGCATCAGCGCTTTTGAAGTGACAGTGACATGGCCCATATACGACCCGACTTAATTTCTGGTACACAATACAAGCAGGGGTACTAAAAGGAAGCCCGATAAGAACAAATGAGTGCAAAGTAAATAAAGTCGCAGTAGTAGCACTTTTATGTTGGAAGTGAGAAGCGAGCTATTTGTCTTGCAAAGTATAAGGACACAATTTCATACGTATGACTTGAGTATGAAATGAAGGTCGAGAAGAAGAGACCACGCTACCCGACCACGAAACAAGCAAAAAAGATCAAGTGTGCAAACACAAATTAATTGCTTTCCTTTCCTTCCTCCCTTGGGTGGTGGTGGTGAAAGTAAGGCATCGGGTCGCGTTTTGCATGTATCGTGTCCTATGCATATGCTCAGCACCCCGAAAAGTAAGTGTGGGTGTCAACAAGCAGATCAATTACAAAGCAAACTTATACATGAGATTGACGTTGGCACTGAAATTACACGAGGTGACGTTACATATTATTTTAAGAGAAAGGTTAAGGTCACATGATGTCCAATACTTTATTGAGTATCGATTATTGGATGTTATGTTTCTGCAGACATGATTCCTCCCAACATCCACTCGACCAATTTGAACCAGTCTGAAGTCACTTTCAAGGAGGGGGAACCCCCCGAGTTGCGTCTCTATTGCAGGGCGAATGGGAGACCCAGGCCAACAATCGAGTGGACCAAGGTGCATACACGAAACGATTGCAATTTCAATCCGTCATGTCATGCAGCGTGATAGATAATATTGCTGGAAATAATATTGCTTTAGGACGGACTAAGCCCGTCCCAATGGCCTGAAGAGATCAAATACACGGTTTCTGAGGATGGAGAAAACCTCACATTTTCCTACATCCGGTCCATCGCGTCGGGAAAGTATGCTTGCACTGCGAGAAATCGGAACGGAACGGCAAACGCGTATATGGACATTGAAGTGGAAGGTACATAGTTAAGAAGAAGCATATTTTCAAAATAGTTTTGAAATTAATGCTACAACCAATGTAAACGTAACAGGGAATGGAATACACCCCGCTCTCATCGGACTCATTGTGGTCTTTATGGCCATCATTCTCATCTTAATGTTCTGCATTATTAAGAAAAACCACAACAAAGCCGTGAGTAAACATTATCATATTGAAAGTTAAGAGTTAGAAAACTAAACTTTTTCCATTTTCAGAAAATGAAACGTTTCCTGTATGAAATTCAAAAAAAGGAGTTTGAAGATGGAGCAGTAGAAAACATAAATCCAGAACTCGGGATTGAAGACCAAGCCAATCTCCTCCCGTACGACAACATTTGGGAATTTCCTCGAGACCGGTTACGCCTCGGGATGCAGTTGGGTTCTGGTGCGTTTGGTCGTGTCATGAAGGCCGAGGCGATCGGGATTATCAAAAACGAGTCCGCGACCACCGTGGCTGTAAAAATGATTAAAACCAATGCAGACGAGAGCCACATTAAGGGTATGATTTGTTATAGAAATGTTCTGTATAAAACGTTAATGTATTGTTTAATTCATTTTAATTTCATTTTTATAGAATAATTTTAAAAAAAGTATTCATTTCACTTTTTACATTTATAATTGAATCCCTCATTTTTTTAGCATTAATGTCCGAATTGAAAATCATGGTGCACCTTGGACGTCACGTCAATGTGGTGAATCTTTTGGGAGCTGTGACTACAAATCTTGTGAAGAAGAGTGAGTCAAACGCGAATATTATCCAATGGGTGGAATCTGATCTTGACTTATTATTCGTTGCAGAGGAACTATTTGTCATTGTGGAATTCTGCAAGTATGGAAGTCTCTTAAATTACATGCACCGACACAAACACACGTTCATTAACCAGTTGGATCCTCTCCGTGGCGTTATTGATTCCTCCATTTATCGCCAAATGTCACGTGGTAGTGCACAATCGGAAGCGCCACGGTAAGAAAAGCTATACCTCCATTCTATTTAGTTGCTGTAACTTTTCACTCCTTAAAAAAATAGTCTAAATTGCACGTATGTATTTAACTACTGAAGTTTCTAAACCGATCTAACTTGTTCTCCTTAATTTTGTACGAAACTCATGCTTACCCCGACTACTTCTGGTGCTGGACTCTCAACAACATGATGGGCTTGGACAATTATTTAATAACTTATTTAAAACTGCACGATACAATTTTGCATGCACTGCTGCTGACTCTCACGGGATTTGCATGATGATTGGTTGCGGGATTCGTGTCATAATGTAGACTGAATTATGCCTCCCTTACTTTCACGGACACTGGAAACTCCAGAACCGCATCGAATGGATATCGCACCTTGGAAGAGATCCCTGTAGGCATTTCGGGGAGCCCAGTTACACCATGTGGCGTCGGTGGGGGTGGATTTGAGGGGGGGTTGACAACAGATGGTCGTCGCAGCGCGGATTACCAGATGGAAAGTATGTGCACGGACATGAGCTACATTTCCAGCTCGCACAACACGGGGGGAGGAGGAGGTCAGCGACGTTCCTCATGCGCATCGTCGACATGGGGGGACGAAGGCCAGGGGCATTATCGGGGTGATTACCAACACGTGGAAGTGAGACCGATACGAAGTGTGGATCTTTTGGGGTGGGCCTTTCAGATGGCAAGAGGGATGGAATACTTGGCGTCTAGAAAGGTTCGCATACTGACAGACTCATATTTTTTTGCAGATAATAAATATCTGTATTGTAGTTACTAATAGTAAAATACTAATCGAAATGACGACTTCAGGTTTTGCATGGCGATTTGGCAGCAAGGAATGCTCTGCTGACGGAAGGCAATGTAGTCAAGATTTGTGATTTTGGTCTGGCCAAGGAAATGTACAAAGACTACAAATACAAGAAAAAGAGCGAGGTGATTGCCAAAATTTGAAATGGAAGGGAAAGTGACTATTAATTTCAACTCGTGTAAAATTGTACAGGGCGTCCTCCTCCCAGTGAAGTGGATGGCAATCGAGTCCATCTACTACGGCGTGTTTTCCACACAGTCAGACGTGTGGAGTTTCGGAGTGGTTCTTTGGGAGTTGTTCACACTGGGAAAAACGCCATATCCAGGTTGGTAAATACCCCAAGCGTAATTATGTACAAAGCCATACTAACTGCACTCGTCCTAATCAGGAATGGATACAGACGACGGGTTCTTCAAAAAGCTGAATGAAGGTTACCGCATGGAGAAGCCGGCCCTCGCGCCTTCCTCAATCTACGATATTATGACGGAATGCTGGGCCCACGAGTCCTCTGCACGCCCCACCTTCTCCACTCTGGTGGATCGAATCGGTGACCTCATGGAGGAAGGTCACCGCCAACAATACGTCGATCTCAACGTCCCGTACGATCGAATGAACAAGGAGTGGTTGTCCGGGAAGGAAGACTACCTCAGTCGAATGAGTGGACCCGATTTTATTTCCGCCAGTGCACGTCCCACCCCGGAACGCGAGTACGAAAACGTGTCAAAGGTCTTGGAAGACTCGGGATATCTCATTCCAAACGCGGTCTCACCTCTGTCCCCAAATCCCCCACAAACCCCTCCAACTCAGTACCAAAACATTCTGCATAGCCCAACCCCCCTTCCCACCACCCCAAGCGAGCCCACGGGACAGTTCCTTGCCAACAATGCCGGCTACGTGTTTATGAGCCGACCAGTCAGTGAGGGAACTCTGCCCTACGTCAAGGTTGGATCGGTGGAGCATGAACTCACCACCCCCACAGCTACGAACGTCGGCTATGTCGCCATAGGTTTAGGAGGCGGGGACAGAATCTCGCAAGAGAACAACAAGAGTCACGGTGGTGGGAGTAGCAGCAGTGACGAGGACAACAATCAACAGCAACATTCATCTTCACCCAACAATGGTGGGGGTGGGATCTCAAATATAAATTATGTTCCCAACAACATGTTCCCACCACCCGCCCCCCTGGAGCATGTCGTGGAGGAAGATGCGGGCAGTGGTGGTGGTGATCCCTTACCCTTATCACCGACGAGAAAGACTGACAACAATGCCTTGTTGACAACAAAACCCCACCCGAACGGGTCTCGGCGTCACCTCCGTCGCCAAAAGAACGATAGCGGACTAGGCTCAATAGACTCGAACCAGTTTGAGTCTACAGTCCGGGGTGGGGATGAGGATGAAGAGGTTCTCGATATCATGGAGGGAGGAGGAGTGATACCCTCGCAGCACAATTTAACCTATGTTTCGCACTCTATCCCTAATTTTGCTACCGGAAATGGGACTCATTCGCACACCAATGGGGGCATCGTTCTGAATGGCAATGGGGTCATTGTTTAATCTTCAGAATAGTACGTGTGCAATCCGCTACCCACCATCACTCCAATTACCATATTGACTGATGCATGCAAAAGGAAATTGGAAAGTTTGCAAGGATAATGTTTCATTTACTTAATGCCAAATAATCAGTCATCACGTACAATTTGTGTAGTTAGTCATCGGAGGAGAGAGAATTTACATATTTAAAAATTTAGCACTTTTGTGTTTCAAATGAGCAATGTTTTTTTACGTAAATGTACCGTCACTACCACATATTTTTACTTGAGTACGTTTTGTTGAGTTTGTACATTTTTATTGCTATTATGGATAGGCTTATCCTACTATTAGATATTTTATTATGCTGGGTAAGTTACAAATTGCCTAGTTCTCGTGACCTGATCACATATTTATATTAAGTTCGCGCTTATCATAAAACAAAAAAATTAATGTTCTTTCGTCTGATAAACGTAATTGATGGAATAAACTGAGTGTTGGATTTTACGAAAAAATAATGAGCTACATAGATTGATTTATTTGCTGATACGTGTGCCCGGAATAGAATGGAGGACTGAGTGAGTTTGAACAAAGAAATGACAATACGAGAAAAACGTATATATGTATCTGTCATCCAACTTATTGATTATGTTTTTCAATCCTTTCGTAGTTATATATTCTCATTCTGGTCGCACTGGTCAAGATTATCATACAATAAACCGTTGTAACGTTAGAAGTAGCTCACCCTGTAACAATGATTTCGATATAACTTTGCTGGTCACCGCTTTGAGTGCGATTAATTTGCTTGATATGATTTACAAATTAGAAAATTTGTTGAGATAAGCGAATATACTCATTTCATGGGTTAGATGATCGAGGGTGTCCTGAGTAGTTAGACGAAAAAAATGGTCCTCTCAAGAATGGCCCTTTTCAAAATACGGCCCTATTAAAAAAATGACCCTATTAAAAAAATGGCCCTCTAAAAATAGGCGTTTTAAAAATGGCCCTCTAAAAAGTAGCCTTATAAAAAATGGCCCTCTTAAAAGTGGTCCTTTAAAAATGGCCCTTTAAAGAATGTCCCTCCAAAAAATTGCCCTTTAAAAACGCCCCTCTAAAAAATTACTGTTTAACAAGTCATGTTACTAAATATTTGTTGTTGCAATATTAAAGTTTGTGCATAGATTTATGCCCATTTTAATTGTAATCTTAGGTTGTAGCTGATATAATATTGAAATCAAGGCTTTATTGGTTACACGAAAATATACACAAATATTATTTACTAGCTAAATTTTTATATAATGTGCATGAGAACGCTGCATACTCCACGATAATAAAACCATCCTGCCAATTCTATCCGTATGGTGCAGAACTTATATGTATTATGTTGTACATAAGTTAACAATGTACAAGAAAACTGTTTGAATAAGATTTTATATAGATCTGAGTATTTCAATTATGTAATTAAGTAATTTGATAATTATTGTGAATATGTGAAGCGTGTTTCTGTCTACTAGAGAAAAAATAGAACTTTATAGTGTGTACCCTGCTTTTTGATTTGTTCACTTTCAAACTGAAATTCAAAGCTGTTACAGCTTTCTCCGCATTTCTGGAACTAATAAGTTATTAGTAATAACCAAGTTAAAAAAGAGATGTTAATCTTAAACTTGAAATTATACTACTGCAATAATTAAGTATTTAGTTAAATGTCAATGGTTGGAAATCAGCATGTTATCAAGTTGTTACCTTTTGACAATAAAGACTTATTATTATTAAGTAGGTAATTACGTATGCATGCAAGAATACGTAATCAATAGTTGTGCATACCCAAAATCAAGACTGTTTCATTTATTTTTTGATACTGATTAAAGAAATGTACTCAGCCCCATGAATTTTTATGATCAATTAACTTATAACGTTGACTTATTTTGCACACGATTTAAACTATGACGGGTATTTTGTAAATTGATCAACAAAATTTAGACCTTTTAAATTCATCCCCACAACCACGTGTGCAAAATTTTAGATTTGAAGACGATTCAAATTCTATCCACACTGCTAATAGTTTGTCGCATAAAAAAAGGTAAAACTTCATTGCAGTATGAATGACATTATTACAAAATCGGTTAATAAAGTTCAAATAAGAAAGAGTTTTTATTCAATAAAAATTTAATATAAATACAAGTTACTCTATTTATTCTATTTAGTTAATTTTATTTTTAACGTGATCCCCATTTCTGTATGACCTACAAAATAAATTTCACCTCAATCAGCGCATGCCAAAAGCTTCAGAATTTTCGCCAAGAATGTGTCGACACGGTCAAAAATAGTTGGGATCGACTCCCGTGGTCATGCTGGAGAATTTTGGTGTAAATGGGACAATTTAAATTTCACCCGTTTTTGACAAATAGCCTTTATGCCGAGGAGAGCAATGTTCCCGAACTTTACACGCGGATGAATCGGCTCCCAAAATGAATACGCGTCGCGTTTACATACATGACTGCCCATTCGGTTTATGAAAAATGCGCTTGTTTTGATACACTATACGTTAGTGGACATTAAGTTAATGCTGACTATGCAAATAATGAATTTTAAAATAAAACAGCTTAAATCACATTAAATTTATAAGTAAATCGATCAATATTTAGTTCATTTTATTGTCAAATTGATTGTGTTTGTTAGAAATAATAGAACATCAGTGGTTTAAGACTAATAAAATTCATATTGTTACTTTTAAAACCCTGAATATTTGTACATTTCAACTATTCTACTAATAATTACTTTATGTCATTAATCTTAAATTTTCAAAGTAATTAGTAGAAATAGCATTTACTTAATCATGGCTGACAGTTTGCCACCATTTTAATAATTTCCTCGGCGGAAACCCCTTCAAAGTACTTATCTAATTCCTCAAGTACAATCTTCAAAAACGGGTCATCGTTACTCTCTGCGAAGGATACACCAACTCCGGAATCTGGTTCGGAACTAGTGTCGGCTACTTGTCCAAAGTATGGTTCGGAGTTAGTCTCGGCGCCTTGTCCAAAATTGAAGCCTTCTTCGCCTGCGTGGATTAGCTGGTAGCAAGCCAAAGCAGCACTATGGTCGTCCCCAATAAATCTTGTTAGGTGAGTTAAGTCCTCAATGACTTGACCGCCAATTATGGTATATTGGTCATCCGGAACTACGGCAAAGTACGTGTAAGAATCTTCGGGGGGTGCCGTTAATGGGTTCAAACTCTCGACATCAGCCTGGTCTGCGTGAGATACATCCGTAGTAGAAGCCGACAGCTGAATGGAGATTCCCTCATCATCCAAGGACGACGATGATTTTCGTTCCTCTTTTATTTTTGGCGATTCCTCCTTTATTGCTGGCGATTCCTTCTTTACAGTCGGCGTGTCTTCTTCTTTTTTCAAGGGCGATTCTTCTTTTTGGATGGACAATTTTTCCTTCTTTCCCAGGGAAGATTCTTCCTCCTTTTGCACGGATGATTTTTCCTGTTTTCGCAAGGACGGGTTTTCTTCTTTTTTCAAGGACGATGCTTCCTCTTTTTTCAAGAATAATTTTTCCTCGTTTCTCGATGAGGATCTTTCTTTCTTGATCTGTTGCTTTGTGGTCGGCTGACTGTTTTGCTTTGCCGTCTCGGAGTTCCCATATTGCGAATTCTATAAGAATGTAAAGTAATTAGATTACAGTTTATCTTTCAAACAAAATCATAAATAAATTTACAAGTATGTTAAAAATAAATTATAGTACTTACACGAAAAGTTTCATTTAATTGCGCAAACCAGATCATCACATTTTCTTGGTGGATGACCCCTGGCTCATCGATGAAGTTTGTCCATGACCGAAACCATTTCACCGTTCCAAAACCTCCATATTGCCCAGGGTTAGACTTTGCCAAATCAACAAATCGCCATGTTTTGATTTTACGAGCAGAAGTGAAACTTCGACGTTGAAAAGTACAGCTGGGTCTTGACGTCGAAGGTCTGAAAATAGAAAGTGGAATTTAAAAAAATTAAGGGACAAATTTCTTTTAAAAAACCTTATTTAATTTTTTACCTTTTAATAATTGATGCTGCCTTTTGATTTGTTTCCCTTTTCGTCGACTTCAGAACCGACTTTTCTACATCGACACAACAGTCTGCGTTCCCGCACGACTTTGCACGACATCGCAAAACTCGTCCAGAAGATCGTGTTTTCGCCATGGCAAGAAATCTTCAAGTTTCTAGCAAAGTAGATGCAACTTTTAAATTCAGCTCAAAACTTGGGGAGAAAAAGAGCAAGATCGAGAGAGCACTTTTTTTGACCTTTATACTTCGACGGTTGCGAGAGAGAGAATGAGCAGAAACCCTCAGTCGTGGCTCCATAAGTAGGCTTTGTACGACGCCTTGCTCGCAGGGACGCTCGCTTCGCCAAGCACTCGGAGCTTTCTCAAGATAAGGTGTCAACTCCAGGAGATAAGAAGGACTAAAATATCCAAACGACTCCACGACAGGGTGATGGTTATTTGCATCTTTAAAAATCAAGAAAAATGGAAACAATATAGTTAAAGATGGCTTGGTGTGATGAATGTAGCGTTATATAATTTAATTAATGGGTTAAAAGCCATAAATGTTGATATTTAAAAAAAACTTTTCGAATGTTATCAAAATTCTTAGCACCGAAGATGAGACTATTTTGTATACAGACTGCAATGTGCATAAGAAATACAGTGTCGGACAGATGTCTACGTCCACATAGTCGCGTCAATTTCATTTTCAAATTGTCACTGAACTACTGAACCAATTTTCATCATTGATATATCAAATTCTCACAAATTTAACGTAATTTCATAAAACATATGAGTTATTTCTGAAAATTCTGGGAAAACTGAGAATCATAGTGCAGAGCGAGAGAGGATGAAATTTGAGCGGACAAAAGTCTACGTCCACTTCACTTTAATTGTCAACAACAAAAATCTCTCCAATTTATAAAATCAGGTAACTTAATAAATCTATCAATAACATATGCCGCATTAATTTTTAAATAATTTTCTTCCAGAAAAATATGATGGCGTCGACACGCAAGGAAATTCCTATCGCTATTCGAGATCTTGTCATTCAGGACTGGAAGGGTGGACAAAAAGGGGGCTGTCGCAGAGACAAATATGGACCAAGTATAAATTAGCAAGGACAACCATCCAGACAATCATTAAGAACTTTAAAGCTAATGGTTCAGTCCAAAACAAGGTCAGAAGTGGTCGAAAACCCATTTTGGCTCACCGAGAAGTACGCCACGTGCTCAACAAAGTCAACGTTACACCCTCACTTAGTGCTCCAAAGCTATCTACCGAGATCAAGGAGATGTTCGACAAACAAGTTAGTCCTAGGACCATCCAAAGAACACTGAACAAGGGAAATTTGAAATCCCACAGAGCAGTCCGGAAGCCTCTTACTGTACCGAGGAATGCAACCAAACGAGTGAAGTTTGCCAGAGACCACATTTCCAAGCCACAAACATTCTGGGACATATTTTATGGACTGACGAGTCAAAGTTCAATGTCTGTGGGTCAGATGGGCGTCGTAGAGTGTGGAGGTATCCAAAAGAAGCTTTGAATCCAAAAAATCTCAACCCCACAGTTAAGCACGGCGGCGGGTCGGTAATGGTGTGGGGATGCATGGCTTCAAGTGGGGCAGGAAAAATGGAATTTGTTGACGGAATTATGGACCAATACAAGTACCAGGGAATACTTGACCGTAATATCAAGGAATCTGTTCGAAAACTTGGACTTGGACGACGATTTGTCTTCCAACAAGACAACGATCCGAAACACTCTGCCAAGTCCACCATGGAATACTTCAAGAAAAAAAAATTTCGAAGCTAGAATGGCCTCCCCAATCTCCAGACTTGAATCCCATTGAGCATCTGTGGGACCACATTGAAAGAGAAATAAGAAAACAATCTTTTTCAGGAATTCCGGGCCTAAAATCCAGAATTCTTGAAGTTTGGGAAACCATTTCTGAAGATGTGACCAAGAATTTGGTAAACTCTATGACTCGACGCCTTGAATCCGTCCTTAAAGCGAACGGAGGCCCAACCAAATATTAAAAATTAATTGTTATAACATTCCTTATAAATTACAGTTTTTTTTGTATGTTTTCTCTGACTGGACGTTGACTTTTGTCCATCCAATTGTTTTCATTTTGAATTAAAATACATCTCTGGCCTAAAATAAATTTTTTAGCGGAAAACTAATAATGTGCTATGAAATTACGTTAAATTTGTGAGAATTTGATATATCAATGATGAAAATTGGTTCAGTAGTTCAGTGACAATTTGAAAATGAAATTGACGCGACTATGTGGACGTAGACATCTGTCCGACACTGTAGCATGCGGCAAATTGAGACAAATGATAGTTTACCTTGGATGGATGAAAATTCTCAATAATGTCAAATGAAAGATTTTGGGTTTCATCGCATAATACGAATTCGCTTCTCATGATAAAAACCATTTCTAGTGAATATGCATAAAAATACAGGGTATGCAGTTTTGTGGGAAGGAGAGATATTTGGCGTTGGTAAAGAGTTCCGGATAAATGACAATGTCATTAAAGTGAAAATGAGTCAAATTAAAGGAATTTTTATTTATTAGCAACAAACCTTCATTTGTTAGTGTACGAATTCTGAAATTGAGCATTCATTATACAAATGTTATTATAAGCTTAATAACTGATCGACCTCTATCGGTCTCAAAATTACGGTTGTAAACCGAGATGAATTATTCTTTTTAAGTAAAGATAATTAAAATTAAGAATCGTAAATAACAGGAAACTAACCACAGGGCATATCAGTTTTCCAAGATGGGAGTTAAAGGTGTATGTGAAGTTTGTTCATCAGCTTCTGCACATTCCTCTGGGTGTTTGATGACATCTTTGGTTTCCGTTATAATTTGACACAATTCGTTTGTAGTGTTGGTCATGTTGTAATGCAATATGTTCTTCAAGTTTGCTAACTCTGCAAATAAATATGCATAAACGATTAAACTATCCATTTTAATTAGAAATGATTTAAAACTCTTTTGGATTATTACCAATCAAGTTCTTAGCTGGTACTATTTCCAGTATGGTTTCACCATGACCTGATTTTTTGCCCTTGTTCATCTTATTGACAATACGGACCAATTCCATCATAAGCTTTCGATCTCGGGGGGAATTAATGCCTCGATATCTATGCAGGAGAATTCCCTGTGGGTATTCCGAACTGTACGCGTTCCCTCCTGTGCCGAGTACCACCTGTATTACCCGATAAATACAAGTTGTTAGCTACAAAATGTATGCCCTCGACATTAACAATTTTTGACTGCTGTCTTTTTACCATTTTGAAAATCGAATTCAATGCATAAATGAACCCCAGTTGAAGTCTTGACAAAAGTGGAAATGTGCAGAGGAACAAGGATTGGTTAATTTTAAGTCCAGTAATTGCCAGGAGCAATTTACGCAGGCAACTTTGCGTTCGTTGGACATCAGAATAGTCTAAGATGTTGTTAACTGTTTCTGCACAACAGAGCAAGCTAAATTCCCAATCTGTTTCAGAACAAAGTTCCTAACCAAACAAAATATTATTGTTTTTAAAAGTCTAGTAAGTATGTCGGGCACAAAACACGAAACTTACGGGCAGGTCAGTTAATACGCGTGAAAAATGAGACCGAATACTGTCAGGATTACAAGTATCACACTGCTTGCGCCCAGCCATCCAAATTTTATAGCATATCAATGACCGCACGGGACGGACCGCTGCTCTCAATTTGCTTCGCATGTCAAGGACGTTCCCCAAACAGAAACGAGAGCTCAAGATGTCGCTATACCGACGACCCACGAGAGGGGAGAGTTGGGAAATTGACCCCTAAATTGAGATTCACATAATAAATAAGTCAAGCTTCTATAATCAATATGATGCCATTATTAGACTACTTACCGATATTTCAGACACTTCCCAGGACAGACTCTCAAAACTCTGGTAATGTTCAACTTGTTGCTGGATTTCTTCAATTTTTTCAAATAAACTTGTCGATTGAAACAATATGGGTTTATCTTCATAACTCTCAATCTCAAATCTAGGATCCATCTCCATAATATTAGTATGAAGCTGCTGGGAGACAAAACAATAATTTTGAAGTAGGCCAGTGCACTAAACTTGATTTTTAGAAGCCATTGCCAAAAAGAAAGGACGCTTACCAAAGGTATTAGAGACTTGTCGTCTGGGAGAGACCTCACATCACACCGATTGATCCAATTAAATGCGACCTCGCGTTGGATTAGCTCGTGCTGATAGATGGCTAAAGATAGTCCGTTTTTATCCTCCCAAGTTTTTATATACCGCTTTATAGCGGTAATCTGTCCATAATAGAAGCACAATCATGCGACCGATTATTAAATAATGCGAAATTCCAATAAGTAAATAAAACTAGAATCGTTGAATTACTTGGAGTTCGGTGAAGAACGATGCAGCGTCAAGAATTGTGTTCATGAATGCATGAAAGAACAAGAGGTCCTTATTTATCATCGCCTTATGTCTCAAAATGGACGTCTTTGTCCCTGTGGTGAAACAATGCAAGAACTCTCATACTCTAATCGATAATCACACATTGAAATATTCCAACTCTTCTTTGTTAGTCAAAAAACTTGCCCAATAATTCAATTAGTATGTCCAATTGAGTTCTAAATTGTCGACGACTTCTGTACTTTAAGCAAACGACATAAACTTCGGAATTGTCCTCATTACTCGTGGCTGGTTTGAATAGATGTACCTGAACCAGAAAAATTATTCTGATTATATTAACTACCCACCAACAACCTTATTCAAGAAATTACTCACCTCTCTAAATAAGCAGCACAGAATGTACAACTGAGAAACTGATTGACAATCTAAAAAGGTGGACATTCTTAGTACAAAACTTCCCCCGGTACCCAAAATTGAGAGGGCAACAATCATTTCAGCGAACTGTAGCTCTATTGCATCGCTCTCTTGTTCCATGGGATTCGTCCGACAATCAATGCTTCCGTCCGCAGTGACCAAATCGACATATTGATCCGAACCGATACATCTACGTTTGACTTGCTCAATCAGACTGTTCAAGTTTTTCCTGTTCATAATGTTCCCGGTCGTGTCTTTTAGAAAAATCCAGTTATTCAAAGAAGTAAACGTCAAGTAATCCGCATTCATCGCAGTCTGAACACTATTTCCCTCGTAGTATGGATTAAGGGTGGTTGCGAGCCAGTCCCACTTGATAGCAAAATTTGAATTGATGAGCATAATTGGTATGAAAACGATTTTTATGGAATAATTTACCTCAATGCTAGGATAATTCGTCGATAGGAAATGGTTGGTTGCGGATACGAAGGCTCCACCGGGGGCTTCGCACAAATGTACGGAGAAAAAACGTGGAATTACTTTTCCCCCTGATTTAGCAGCAGCCTTGATAATGTGTTCAGGCACCAGAGAAAAAGCGCTGAGACACTCGTACATTTTGCACCTACAGAAAATAATAGGGTGGAAATTATCTTACATGAGATTACAACAATAAGAAATTAATTCAAATCAATAATGAGATTACCACATTAATAATAGCACTAATTATAAGATTCTTTGTACATACCACGCTTGGCTACAAAATTCGGGATGAAACTCCTTCCTCACCATTGGAACCACTTGACCTGCTGTGTTCATTTGTCGCGTATGTTTGTCCCAGGAATCCAATGGGTACTTATCCAAAAGGCTCTTCGTTTCATTTAATTCATGTTCAAGATCTCTTAATTCAACTGCCTAAGAATCATAAGAAATAATGTTATAAATATTTATCTCATGAAAAATTTAGCAATTAATAATTTTTTAATTGACTTTACCGTCCAGTTTGGCCAAAAGAAAAATTTCTTTGGTATCGAAACACCGGTTTGCTCTGGAGATTTGAGACATCGTTTCTTCTCCAAAATGTCTTGACTTGTAGTTACCATATTTATTTGCTGGACAATTCTTCCTTCAAAATGGGGAGGTAGTGATTTTTTAGGAAATGATATCTACTGAAACTCGACCGATTTGAGAGAGCGAACTGATTGTGAGAGAAAGAGGAGGTGGAAGATGCATTTAATTATTAATTATGCAAAAGGAGCACGTTGCATCTTCATAGTAGTTGAGCTGGATTTAGACGGCTTTCACCAACCAGGCCGCTATGTCATGTGAGAAATGCATAGAAAGTGCTTATGTATAAGGGGAAATTACTGAGAAATGCATGATTTTTCTATGTAATTCACCATTTATTAATAATAATTACGTTAGCAAGACAATACTACATCAATTAATTAATAAAATCTTAAAGCAGGTGGAAGCGGAACCACTTTAATACTTCATATTTATGGAGGCGTCATTCAGTACTCGACATATCCATACAAATGTGGGTATGTATAGGAAACCAATTAATAAATAACTGACCTAACTTAAACACGTCATAAGTTATGATGACTCATAACCACAAGTGATGCTTAAAATATCTCATTCGTTTTTCGTAAAAAAATATGCAAGCATTTTTTGTCATCAAATTTACACATATAGATATCCATAACTTTCACCCCTTTATTCATTAAGTAGGCATAAATACAGTCATTTTTACCACAAATTTACACAAAATAATGTGCAAAAAAATTGGCATAAATAAGTGCAACTAGTAATATGCGACCCTTGGTAAAACCCGTTTAGTCGACGCTTTAGAAATCCACCCTTTGCGTCATCTATGCCACTCGATGCACTTCGTCGTAACCTCAACTTCCGCTGTTAGATGACGGCCGAGTGAGAAAGGAACTCTCGTAAGCAAAACCAAAAATCCTTCTATAATCATAATAGCAAGCATAGAACTCTTTGAAAGAGAAATGTTGATAAAAAATGTTGGCCAAATGGAACCTTCAATGACTTCACTAAACATGACTTATCAAGTATCCTTCATCCCCAAGAGGTGGTTATCATGATTCACTCATTACCTAAGATGTCTTTCCCTGTAATTCTCACTTGAGGGAATAATCTCATCTCCAGACTGGGAAAATGAGATACTTTATAACAGTAAAAAGATGCCTTAAATTCCTCTCATGTCAATTAAACTGACTTGGCGTGCTTATCATGCGAACGGAATCTGTCCCCCAAATCCTTGCAGACCCCACAAGACCACGTTTCTGTTACAGGAAGCCTACGGGAGTTGGACATGGTTGGCTAAAGTATTTTTTCGCTATGGTCAACAGCACATCATAACAAAACACGGAATGTGTGTGTACAAGTGCATGAAGGAGGTTGAAAAATGTGTACTAATCATGATATTTGTGGAGGGGGGGAGGGGGCACTTAACAAGCACACATTATCATTTTGACCGACCCTCTGACTAATAAATATAAACTCGCAGTCAAGTCGGTTTACCTAAACAACAAAAAAGCACGATATTGCTAAAAAAAACTGTAGAAAAAATTTTGTAAAGGTGCCACACATAATAAATGGAGTAGTAATTATACCCTTTTCATAATTTGTGAAGTGCTACTGGTTAATATTATTTATTATTCCTTGTCCGACATGCCTTTAAACTTTAACTTCTCTCTTCACAACAATTGATCATCCTCCTCAAAAAAAACTCTCCAATCCGACCAAAGTTCTCACACGATAATATAATACTATGCGGTTTTTGAAAGTTTGTTCATAATTTTGAAATTCGTCGCTTCATAATAATAAAACAGTTTGACTTAACCGATCAAGGTGCCGAGCCGCGGATTATCAACAGCAGTCTGATTTGGAGTGGGGAGAGAAAATTGTTGTAATCGATTGTTATAAAATTATGACCGTAAACCGTAACATACATTGTTGAATCGTCGTCGTCGTCGTCGTTCATCGTTGTTGTTAATACTTTTACAAAGTAATTTAAAACAGAATAGTAATCAGTTTCATTGAATCATTCATTTGATGAGGATTCTTTTTTATTATTATTGTGATGATTCGGTTCTTTGCACATTTACATTGAGTTACTTGAACTGATCTTCTTACATACTAGAAGTGGGGAGAATTGAATTGAAAACTATTTACTGCTGCCATCATCATCATCATCATGTCTAATCTCTACACCACAATTAGCAAGGCAGCAATAATACCTGTGTGTTGAACTATCTACTACTGTTATATCAGTCAGTTTTGGATACGTACATTTCTTTACGAGAGGAAGAGAGAGTGAGAGAATTTTTATTACTAAAGACTTTTAATCAATCCAACTAGTAACGGCGGATGTTGCGTTAAGTCAACAATTAAAGAAATTGAGGAGTGAGTTAGTGACTGAAAAGGTACTGAAACCACACCACCACCTGCCACCACCCACCCACTCTCGAGTGCAAACCACAACAAATACATATAAATAATACCTCTTTTTTTACTACCAAGTAAAGTAAAGTGCAGTGAATGAATAGTAAATAACTGAACCAACAATCAACTTCAACAGAAGAGATTCGACTTCTCGCGAGCTTTAAGTTTAACTGCTCTCATATATATTGTTGTAGTAATGATGATGACGGCGAATGGAATCAGAGCAGGAAAAGGTAAAGTTATCTTTCAAGTGTGCAGTTTTTAGTGAATAAGAAGCAGTAAAGACTGATAAGTTTGCAAATAAATATTCGTTTAGAATTTACTTATATAATATATCAGACGAATGAATATTATTTATTCGTCTTCTCATTCTCACAGATGGACGAGTTGCCGAGAAGAATAGTAATACTAATAAATTGTGGATAAATCGAGGCGAATTTTGATAATTGATTCACCCTAAGTAGCCAGAGAGAAGGTACCTTAAGTAAAAAAAATATATAATTTGTGTAATTGCAATAATGCAACTTTCTAAGTAAACAGTGGGAGTAATAAGAAGTAAAGTAAAGTAATAAGTGGTGGTGCGGAGTCAAGTCGGTTTTTATTTCACTTGTGCAAACTTATTATTTTGTGTAAACGGGACGTGATTCACCAGTCAGGGGTGTTAAGTGGAGGTGACATAATCAAGAAAATGTGTATTAGTGGCAATATAATTGCACCAGGAGGAAGCAAATAATAAATAAGTGAGAAACTTTTCGTTTCATTTAACCGAGTCCACTAAATAATCCATCCAATTGAGAAGAATTTGAGAAGAAGAAAGTAAACTAAATGTGCCCACGTAACAACGGCAGCAGCAGCGATTTAATAGAAAGCAGCCGCAGCAAGATCCAGATTAATGAGCGTATTTCGGGGAAACGTGGTTGGGTTAAAGTTCAACAGTTTGTCGGTCCCATCCTCCGGCGGAGGCACACCCCTGCAGAGGAGGAATAGTAACAATGTGACGAAAAAAGTGGGCACCCTGTTTGCCGACTTGCTCGAAGAGGAGACGGATGAAGTGGGAGGAGGACTTTTTCTCGAAATCGCCCTCTGGCATGAGGACAGTGACGACGTTGTCGACGACGCCACGACCAGTATCAGTAGGGGAATTAATAACACCATCACCACCATGGCCAACTTTGGAGATAGCTGCTGCCATTATTGTGGCGAGGTGGGGAAATTTCCAATTATTCAAAATACTTAATACCGTGCTATCAAATCTAGACCAGTCAGGAGGATGAGTCGGCCTTGAATCAAAATTTGCGCATTTGCATGTGACAGTTAACATGGGCTTATTTAATGGCGTACATAAATAATAAAATCCCGTCCAGTAGTAATTGGCAGAGTCACTCTCACTAATTTTCTTTCCAGTTGTAATAAAACATCCCACTTTTAATGCGAGTTAAACTCAAATTCAATTTAAATTAAGATTTAACAATAACAAAAGTTTTGTTACAAAACTAGAATAAATTTCTATTATGAATTAATAGGCATTGCGCAATCCGCTAAATAATTTAGTCACAAATTTTGCAACTTTCCTTTCGTTGCTCTTTTTTCTCATTCTCGTTAATATTTATAGTTAGTTACCGATTATTATCAGGCTAAATTATGACCTTGAAGTAAATTTATTTACAATTATTTAGGCCGCAGTGGGTCCCATAATGACGGCGGGGTTGACCTCCTTCCATCCGGAGTGTTTTCGCTGCTGTAAATGTCAACTCTGCATCGGAGACGATGAACAGTTCGCACTGGTTGGGTTATCAACTCTTTACTGGTAATTTGATTACTTTATTTATGGGTTTAGTTTGCCGGGGGGAATTCATTAATTGTGTAGCACAAAATATGGCGTGGTCATGTTTGCGCCTCATGTTAATAAAATGGGATGGGATTTGTCTCAAAATTCCAATTTTTCCGACACCCACACAATTAATGAATGATTCGAACGAATTGCATTCCAGATATGAAACAGTGACAGACAAGCTTGACATGATTTGAGTGTTAAACCAATTGGTGGTGATACCTGTCACTCAGACATTAATTTGTTTGCGCATGAGAATGAGATGACTATTTTTATTCTATTAATGATGATGAACGATGAGACGACTCTTCTTAATTGTGAATAATCGAGTCAACTTGTAACTGGTCAGGGATGGACAACAAATAGCAAATGATGATGAAAAACTGCTTATTTCTAGATTTATAAATTACCCAAATTGTTATGTGAGCTTTGAGATGAATTTCTTTTGTCAGTTAAATTTAGATGAGATCAAATCTCTTTCCAGGGTGGTTTTCATCGGGCATAATGTTGGTATTTTTTAGAAATTGCGATTCATGATTTTTTTAAATTCAAGGTTAGTTTTACTCGGATTATTGATTAGGAAAGTAAAAATTCTACGAAAAACGGAGTGTTTATCAATTGCTGATATTATACTGACAGTCCATTAAGTACTTGGGGCTGACATAAATTCCACGTTTTGCAAACCATTCTAAACCATCACTCAGTTATTATTAGTTAGAGTTAGTTAACAAGCAGTAAAATTATTTCTTGTAGTGAATAATAATAATAATTTGCTGCGCCAGTGCGCCCACCACAAAGTACACGAGCAGGCAGACTATTAAATTAGGAAAAACCTATGGGATCCAGAATCGAGCACATTTTTAATACCTCATCAGGTGTGTTTGTGTCATAACATAATTATCTCTGTTAATTGGTTGGGGTACCCAGCACGGCTAGGTTTCCAGTCAACTCAATGGAGATCGACAATTTAACACAGTCGAATAATAATGCACATAACATACTGCAGATAAGTCATCCTCACCATGATGAGGATGGATAACTTATCAGCAAGCCTAAATATTTCACTCGAATCTGCATTAAATATATACAAGGTCGAGCGAATAGGACCATTTGACTTTATTATTTACTCCCAACGAAAGAGATGCACGGTTTGTGCAAATTTGCAAGTCAAATATTTTTGGCAAATTTTCCATTTCCCATTATCCGTACGCTACTCTTCAAAGTTAGAATAAGTAATATAGTAATCATGTTATTGAACTCGGATACGATACTTGGCAAATATACCCGAGACAGATTATTGTTGTGTTGCTGTTTGCAAATTTAGGGACAAGTCGTCGTCGGTATTGAATTTTGCATAAAGTGTATCATATTTCTCATGGGATGATGAGAGCCACGTGATTTAGTAGGTGGTGGTAGTTCTCTGAGTGATATTTATATTTATTTACTTACCGTCTTCCCCTTACTTATTTATTATTGTTGAAAATCACTGTTAGTTTTGAGAGAAAAACTAAGAAATTATTATCAATTGACTGAATTAGTGATTGTGCATCGAATCTCGATTATTGTGCATGTCGCCGTGTCATTGTTATTGTTGCGATTTGGTGGTGCAGTGTGAGTATAAAAGAAGCGATACTTCTTCCAAACGTGGTACTAAGACTGCCATAAGGCTGGAGTTTATGGGGTCATGGATATCCTTGGTGCGAAGGTAATAAAAACGAGTAATGAGAACCTGAGTATCGGTAAAAAGTTGAAATTGTGACGTGCGAATAGACATTTCACAATCTGCGAGGTGGATGAATTTCAGTCAGTTAATCTCAATTCTCGATCCGCCCATTTTTCACCCTTCCCGAAATCAGATTGAAAATGATGAATTTTGTCTCCAGAAAATCAAAGGTGTCGCCAAACCTGCGAAACATGCATGTCAATTTCTGATCATGGGGTACGAAAGATCATCCTCACCTTTCAGTTACAAATATTCACATCACACCTGCAATAACGAACCACCTACTTTTTTCACCTCCTCGCTAAACTTACGTAACTTATTTACGTGTGATGCAATTCGTTCATCATTTCACACTCTACTTTTATTTAATACGGGACGTCATCACGTAATAATTTCCTACCTATCAGTGGTTGGATTGGTTCCTTGAATTGATTTTTTTTACCCTCTCTAAAAATATTTTTTTATTACTTTTTGTAGTTCTGGATGCTGGAAGAAGGAGCCTTATCCCCTGGTTGAGAATCAACACGTAATAAAAGTGGTAAAGATTCCTCCATTAACGCGAGACAGCACGCAGTTCAAGTTACGCAAGGATTGGCGAAGGGGAAGCGAATGTCTCGGCGGAGATTCTTACGACGTCCTGGGCTCCAGTGTTCCACAAGTCTCAGAGTAGGTGGCATCTTTGGTCATTCATGTTCTGTGAAAAAGGGCCGTGTGAAAAGGATGTGATCTTGTTTTTGTCTCCGGATAAGCTCAGATGTTGAGAGTACCAACACAATTGGTCAGAGAGGTGGTCATATCCGGTCAAAAACTCGTCACATCCTTTATACACGGCCCCTACTCAGCAATCCATTAGTGTGTGTGTGTGTATCTTGTTAGTAATTTGCGGATGACGCGATTCGTATTGATTTTGCAATTATGGGATAGAGACCTAAGACAACATAACATAACCCTTTTAAGAGGTAAATTCGGAAGTGGAAGTAGGATTATGTGTCGTCGCAATAACTTTATCTAGTTACCATCCATTAATTACGGAAGGGAAAGGTGGGCGTCACGCTCCCATTTGCGCCACGTGTTAAAACGGGGTAAGGTTTCGGGACGGAAATAAGCTAACAAATTTGTCCCCGCATAATTAATGCGTCATTTCTTACTTAATTCTGTCTGATTCTCATCAAGAGATCTGAATTAGTAAACAAATCTGGAAATGGTTTCACAACTGCATGACTGACTACGTGACGCTGGAAAGATTGACGACATGAGTTGCGAAACACGATTTGCAAAACTGTTTCTAAAACTGGAAGAACATCGATTTCGCATTTATGTGAACCTGCCATTCTTCATTCGGTGTCCGATTTTGGCCCTTAATTCACTTAATATTAAGTAGAAAGTGGTGTCAGGGAAGATTTCGTTTCGAGGAAAACGATCAAGTATAAAAGTTTCCGACTAACAAATTTATCGTAAGTGACATCCAATCCACTTTCTACAAAATTTGTCGCCTTATCATGATAACGCTCTCCTACTTATCATCATAACTTTCTCCTTCTCGAGAGGATATTGTTACGTTCAAAACTTTCTTGCTACGAAAACAAAATGTGTGATCCACGCTACGATTACTGAGCAAGATAATTAATTAACTATGTAGCCTCAGGGTTGCACTCTTTGCTCGACATGTAGGTATGGAAATTCGCCAATTTTCATGATAATTGATGCATTTTGGTTGCGCGTCAGGAGGAAATGTGAGCTTTTCATTTGCATTTTGCAGTGTGTGGGTATTGAAGGTCGTTCTCGTGTAGGGATTTGGATTTAGTTCAATGGTGTATGAAATTCTGTGATGAATGAAAGTGAATTAAATCTTAATGAGCAGAGCCGGCAGCACTGGGGAAGTAGGAGTTGTGGGAAGAAGAAATTTAAGGCAGTAAATATTTAGTTCTCATGACTTTTCCTCTGTAATAATCCCTCATTTAATAAGATGCACAGTGTTCGTACAACTCCAAAAATGCACATTTTTACCCAATGATTTTCTACAATTGGTTAGTGTGAAATATTTCTGTTTTGGTTCATATAGAAAAACACAAATTTTGGATTGAGAAAAGCACTGCATAAAATTGTATTTTTTAAAAAGCTACCACAACTGACATCATAAATATTTTAAGAACCCTGTCATCATATGTATGAAGTATCTGTCAGTCAGTGTGTATTGTATGTATGCCCACGACAGGTTTATAATGATGACGAAGGCATGAAAAAGTGTAATCGGACTACGGGAATTAAATCGAGTGGATAAAACATTTCCCATGCAGACATTTATTTATTTGGAATTCCTAATTTCCTAATGCGAGCTGAAAGCATGATACAGGACCGTGCAGAAGGAACGAGGAGAATTATTTGACAGACTCGTACCTTTTATGACATCCAATTTGAAACGGGCAAGGTGACCCCGCAAGGTCGCATCCTTTCTGTACAGCCCAGAGAGAGAGAGAATTTCTAAGAAGTGTCTGCTGCTACCGACACTGGGACTTAATTTAATCTGATGGACAGGAATGTTTCCTCATGGAGAATTGATTGTCATTCCGTTCCTGGAGTTGAACCGAGTGAGACATGATCATCATTGGGTTTCGTCGTAGATAGATTTTTGTTATGGTTTTGTTGTGATACTCAAATTTCAGTCATTAACTAACTACACTTGATTGGTGCCATATTTACGTGTATGTGTGAAACTACGCCGTAAGATTTACGTGTATATTACAGGCTTCTCCTCAGAATACGTGCAGTTTAGCCTTTCCAAAATGTAGACAAATTGCGACATAATGGTCAATAGTGGTGGTGACGCGTTAATTTTGCCAGTTTGTAAAAAGTATGGGCCATTCATTACTGCGAAAATGGGGCGGTTATATAAATAATTAATTAATGAATGGTCCCTTTTTCTACACATGTGCATACACGTCCGGATTCGATCCGTAGCGTGGTATTTAATTAAGAAATCTCTTTTCGAGAGATAATAGTCGACAAACATTCCTTTGAAATTCGTCGTCCTTTCTTTTTAATCCTTCAATTCACTGACAGCAGCATTGAAATCGTCGTCGTCGTAGAATCAAGAACAAGTTTATTTCAATTCATTTAAGAAGAAAAAGCGTGAATGTGAAGTGGAGGATTCAAAAAATAAAACATGTCAAATAGGGAGGCAGTTTTTGTGGTGGTGTTTTATTTATATTGTGCAATTTCTTGAGATGGTTCTACTACATAACATTACATTAAAATAGCTCACCATGAGCGAACCACGCCACAACAACGGCAAAGTTAAGCAGCAGCAGGAGGAAAGAAAGGCCGGTGTTTGGTTGGTAGTGGTGGTGAATTCTTGAATAAGTGACAAAGGATATGATGAGATGAGATGAGGTGGTGAGTAATAAGACGCCACTTTTTTATGGGGGTGGTATTTGGTGCGAGTTTTACTAAATCTAAGACAGAATTGGTTTGTGAAGGAGAAGTTGTGTTTGTGTGTGTGCGTACGTGTGCGTGTGCGTACGTGTGCGTGTGCGTGTTATATTTAATTAATAGTAATATTGATCGTTTACTGATAATAATGACCCTCATTTAATGCGTTTTTGTGCTAGTCAGATGCATACAAAATTTCATGTGTGTTTTTGCTCTTGTTTTTCACAGGGTGGGACGCGTGGGATCAGAATGTCAACTAAATGTCGGGGACAGGATATTGGAAGTGAATGGCAAGCCGGTGACGGATCATCCACTTCCAGACATTGAAAAGGTCCTCAACCACAGAACGGCAGCCGTTCAGGTGCGTAAAATCAATGTGTAAATTCGATCAAGGGATCGTGCAGAATGGGTGGGATTTCTATTTTTGGAGGGGATCGTGTCTGTACACAGGGGGAAAATTGACCCAAACTCCATTACGTCTTTTCTGCGCGGTGGATACGCTGATATTTTTGAAGGTTGAAGATGTGCATAAGATTTGGTTTGTTTTTGAATAGGTCACTGTCGAGCAGAAGCCAACGAACGTGGTTGAAATGCCGTCTCGTAAACTGGAGGAGTCAAAATCGTTCGGATCTCTGAGCAGTTTGGAGCTGCGGAGTTGCAGCTGGGACTTTTGGGGCAGTTATGACAACAAGTCACTCACAGAGGACCAGAGACTGATGAGTAGCAAGAGGAGGGAGCAGGACCACCGGTCAAGACAGCCAAGGAGGGGAAAAGGGTAACTAATTAAAATTAAATAAGTTAGGTCAAGATTTTGCATTCGTAAACCGTGCAAATGCACCATGCAAAAATTGAAACTGATCGAGGGGCGTTTTAGATTATTTATTCGTCACACAATTTGGCGTGAAAGTTGATTAATTGACTGATTGCTTTCAGGTGTGAGGAGAGGGCGGCGTCCTTGTCGCGTCTGTCTGACTGTTCTCCGACCCCTCCAGGGACCAAGTCGGGGTTAGCGAGGACGCTCTCCTTCCGAGAACAGGCCCGCTCCCAGTGCACCTTCAGAGCTTGCGATCTCGTCAAGGGCGAACTCCTCGGAAAGGGATTCTTCGGCCAGGTCAGCATCCAATAAACACATCAATCTTTACTCATTTACTCAATCTTGACCACTTCATCACCATCAAGGCATCATAATAAAATTTGCATAATCTACAAATTGTGGTGGTGATTTGATTTGAATATGATTAAACCATCACCACTTAAAAAATCACAATTGGAAGTATCAAAATTTGCATAGATTTTTTAAAAAAGGCTGGCATTTTTGTACTAATTTACGAAATCACAAATTCCTGAAATGCATCTGATGAGGATTAAAGTCTCGCTGCACTGGTGAGTTCATTGACTTTTGAGAGAGAGGTCAAGAAAAGTGAGGAGAAAGAAAAGTCCAGAAGTCTGCAGCAGGCAGCCTGGTGGTGGTGGTGATTTGCATGTCGCGTCTCTTGGTGATGGTGCTTTTCCAGTTTGATCGAAGCCCATCAGTTGGTAATTTCCGTGGTGGTGTGAACAACTCGCTCTCTCTTTCCTCTCTCTCTGTCTCTCTGTCTTTCCATTTTTTACTCTCGGAAACTTCGGGTTTTTGAAACTTTTAACTCTGCCAAAATGTTTACCCTGCTTCGTGAGAACTGCAACAATGAGTCGGTCTACTCCTTGATCCAGCCACCGCAAGAAATCCCTGCTCCCGGTCCACCATTGTAAGTCAAAAAGTAATTTTTTCTCGCTGGATCATATTTTTTATCCATTTTTTCTGTCTCCAGGTACAAGTCTCGGTTCTCTTGCAAGGTGCGTGAAGACGCGTATGATGCGAGGAAGGGGTGTTTTCTCACGATGGGTGTGCCTCGAGTGTGCCAAGATCCGCCGACATGCTACTTGAAGAAGCAGACACGGGCTCCAATGTCAATCCGGAGGAAAGTGGGATGTAAGTTTTTTTTTCGTCTTTTTTTAAATTTTACTGTGGCAAATGGGACAATTTTTTGAAATTTCCTTTCTTTCCATTTTTCACGTTTTGTATAAAGTTGAGGTAAAATATTTACAAAAAAGTCGAAATTAAAATTTGCGCAAAATATCCGCAGGTCGTTTCACTTGTCACAAGTTGTATTAATTATATCCAGTGTTTTTTACTGGATGTCAGCTGTTTAATTAGTTTTCATGTTTGTTTACATATATTTTAAACTCACCAGTGCCCAAAGTGGAAATGGTGTGCAATCCGTGTCAAACTGGTGACGATGAGGAGAACACTGCTGCTGCTGAATGTCCTCCACCCACTGAGGAATGTTCCATAATCGCCGAATGTGGCAGTGGCGACCAAGCATCTGCTCCGCCGTGTTGTCAAGAGGAAAAATGTCGCATAGCCCGCATCTGTCTCTGTGCCGGTTTGAAAGAAAAGCCACCAGTGCCCCCGCCTTGCGCCAAGTTCGGAGTGATTCCCACTTGCTGTAAGGACTACGTGCGAGACAACATTCGCAACGCAGTGCGTCAAGTTCCCCGCAAACCGACCATGCGTTTCGTCGATGACCGCGTCGGCCACACGAAGAACTGGTGCACTTCAGGCATGCCCCGATTGTACGTGTGTGGCGAAAACTTTGGCAAGATTCCGTGCTACTTGGAAGACATCAAGGCTGATTTGCACGTCCAAGCGCAGAAGGAGAAGAGTCTCATGAAGGCGCAGGAGATCAGCGCGCAAGAAAACTGTCGCCATTTGGACCCCGTGGAGCGAGACGCGATCACCTGCGGCCTCAAGAAGAATTGGGAAGAAGTCTTCGCCGACTATCAAGCTCTTCCCCTCTTAATAGACACGGCTGGCAAGATTCAACGGAAATCAGAGTTGGAAAAGGAATTGAAAAAGTTGGAGCAAGACATTCAAGTTTTGGAACGGCATGACCACCTCTTCGTCGCTGATACTTGTCGCTCTTTCTATCTAGCCTAAAACTATCACTACCATTAGCTAATTAACAAAAAAAAAGTCTTATAATCTCAAATAATCTGGCCCTGTCTAATAATGTAACTCCAACTTCATTATCACAACCACTCATGTAACAAGTATGATTGTGTAACATTATTTTAAAATCAAACTAAAAATTGTAACTAATATTAATGAATAAGAATGATTTGTAATGAATGAATATGAAGTTATTGGTATAATGAATATGAAAACAAATGATGGCATAAATAAACTTGCAATAATAAAAGAAGGTATAATGTGAATGTTGCATAGGTCAGAATTATTTTAGTATTTAAATAATTTTTAGAATATCAGTTATAACTCTATTTTTATTTAATTATAATTAATTGACTTAATAATTATTACTTTAATCAGGTTTATAAAGTTACCCATTGCGAAACGAAGGAGATCATGGTCCTGAAAGAACTCTATCGACTGGACGAGGAGGCACAACGAAACTTTTTGAAAGAGGTGCAGATCCCATGTCTGTTTTTTAACTTGCAAATTAGGAAGTACATAGATTACTAATACGTTTGTTAATTAGGTGGCCGTATTGAGAAGACTGGAGCACCCCAATGTACTCAGGTTTATCGGCGTGTTGTACAAGGAGAGGAAGTTGCACCTCATCACGGAGTACGTAAAGGGGGGCAGCTTACGCGAGTTGATTCAAAACGTGCAGCATTCCCTGAGTTGGACGATACGGTGTCGTATCGTGCACGACATTTCGTGTGGGATGGCTTACCTCCACTCCATGGGTGTCATCCACAGAGACCTGAGTTCACACAACTGTCTCGTTCGAGAGGTAAGTATTAATAAAATAATGGGACAATTTTTGGTTACGAACAAAGCATCTCTTAATTTTGTCCTGTTTGTAATGCGAACAATTTGCATATATCTAAGTGGATAGCCGATGGTATTTGAATTTTGTGCTGTTTTGCAGGACATGAGCGTGGTGGTGGCAGACTTCGGCCTGGCGAGAATTACGAGTGAAATGAGTCTGCAAGATAGATCTCGAGCGAGTAAACGGGGCAGGAGGATTGAGAGAAAGAAACGGTTCGTAATTTTGTTCAGATTAATGATGTACGGATGAGAACTTATTAAAATGGTTTGCATACAGGTACACGGTTGTAGGGAATCCGTTCTGGATGGCGCCAGAGATGATGAAGGGGAACAAATATGATGAGAAAGTTGACGTTTTCTCGTTCGGTATTATTACTTGTGAAGTAAGTTATTTGGTTGACACGATAATAAAATATTGAATACAGTAATTATTAATTAGTTAATCAATTGTCTCATCTTTTGTACAGGTTATCGGACGAGTAAACGCCGATCCAGACTTTCTCCCCCGGTCCGGCGACTTTAGCCTGAATCAGCAAACATTCCTGGAAAAATTCTGCGCCGAATGTCCCGAACCTTTGTATCGCATTGCCTTCATGTGCTGTGATCTCAACCCAGACAAAAGGTGGTTACATCGTCTCATTAAGAACTATTAATTCTTCATGCTAGATTAGCTGGTCACTGCAAACTTAGGAGAACCTAATGTGAAAGACATTCGATGTAAAACTTAATTTAAAAATCCAAAAACAAGCATTGTACAGTCAATAATTGTGAGAGAAGGTTACCAAATACATATCAAAACACTGCTGTTTTAGCTTGCACAGTTTGGGCCACAGAATTCACAATTTTTCTTTCACCAAATTAATAAGAGGTTACTAATAAGTTGCTCATAATCTAATTTTGTATTCTAATTTCTAATCCAGGGCATCATTTGAAATCCTCTCTTCCTGGACGGAATCCGTCGCATCCAGCCTGACACGAAACCTACCCTTTCCAAAAGATCTACTCGCTGAGATTCGTGACTACGTGGGGACACACTCCTCTCGCAGCCCCACCTCCTCAGAGTCCACCACACCCGACACGTCATTCACCTACATGACCACATCGTCCGGAGCGAGCAGTAACTCAAGCTCTGGAAGTCTCCCTTCTTCCGCAACGGACACGAATTCTTCCTCATCGTCATCCTCAGCCTGCGTTGAGAACACGCTGTCCTCCGCCTGCTCGTCCCTCTCCACCTTCACGAACAAATCGGGGGGACGGCTCCATTCCATTTGTGAAGTTGACCATTCCAGCAATAATAATTCCATGAATAGTTCCACCCTGTCTAGTCCAGAATTGGAGCAGCAGCCCAAGAGCAACTCCTCCCCCATTACAACAATCACGTGCAATCATACCAACCCCCTCCACACTAATAGTAGTAGCAATGGGAGACGCATGTCGGCCTCGCCCTCCTAAAAAAATAAGTCTAGAATATCTCTCCTTCTTATCCTGCATACATATTACGTATAAATAACTTAGTTAGTAGTATTTACATAGTCACCGTCCCACCACCAACCAACTTTTTGCACATTTTATAGAAATTCGCAACCTAACGTATTATTGTTAACGTCGTCGTTAAAAAAATGTAAAATTAACTGGAGAATTACAGACAACGAATCAAACGAAGAAGAGGAGTATTACAATTTAGTGAAACGAGTGTAAAAATTTGTACATTTTCTAGCGCAGGATTCAGATTTAAGAATTATGCAATTTTTCTCGCCGTATGCACCTTCGGAATCGTTCTATTAGATAAGACGAAGATGATAAAAACAAGGCTTAAAAATGACGAAGTGGAGATTATAAAAATTAAGAAAAATTTCTAAGACATAATTTGATATCAGCTCTTTATCAATGATTTGATTAATGTCAATAGTAATAGTTTTGTCTCGGTTGGGCGAATCTGAAGTAGACTGTGATCATAAAGTCAAACAAAAATCAGTACTGATACTCTTATTAATATAAAATAAAAAGGGGGTAATTATTAATAAAATAATTAATATAATATTTCGGAGAACAAGCTTTTTGTAAAGGGAGGAGAAGAAATTTCCATAAATTAAGAAGGTGAGGAACTAATAAGTTAGAAAGAGAGAGGGATATCACAGATAAGAAGTTATCGGTTTATGTAATAATACAGAGGTGCAAAAAAACAGTTAAAATCATTCACTGATTTAAATAAACACTTTTTTGTTACAGCGATAAGATGTCTTTGTTCTCTTAAAGTTATAATTTATTCTGATGTATCCGATACTAATTTTCCATTTTATGTGATGATTGGCGGCTGTGAACAACTAAATATTTAAATATCTGTCGCCCGTGACTGTTAACTATACAATTAAACTGTTGAGCTATCCGTTAATTATTAATCATTTCTTTCCAAACTAAAATAGGTATCCGGCGCAGTTGAATATGAAACATATTAACGTCTAGTGAATAATATGCATGTTTCTCCGTCGTTGATGGTGAAGACTTTTGCTAACATACTTTCTTGAAATATGATAAGCTGTCTTTGTATATGCTCGCATTTTTATAAAATTGTAAATTTATACGGTCAAATCGGATTTTCTATTGGAAATATTTAGTGTACAAATATTTACGGATTAACTTCGTTGGTGCTGTACTGTACCGAAAGCGTGGTTCCACTAAAATATTGAACTAAAATATTCTCTGTCCTCGTCACGTTACCAACAAAACCAAATCTGTAATTTATTTACTTGCCTAATTTCCTTAATTATCTATTATTAACCTATTATGTATGCAGCTAAATATTTATATTTAATTATATAAAAGATATTATTTTGTCACTATTACGTTAAAAACAATCCCCGTCTCTACAATTGTTTAAAATTTCAATAACCAAAGAAGTTATCCGGGATTCCTCCCGTGAAGAAATACTACACACATACTTTAGTAATTTCTTACCCCCAGAAATGTTTAATCGTTGCAATTATAATTTAATTTTAATTTAGATCATGTAGTTCTAAATATATATAATTTAATTTTGCCGTGTTTGCGAAATTATTAAGGAGTATTATTTTGAAAGAGGAGGAGAATAAATAAATATTGCCGAGATTTTTGACGGAAAGATAACTTGAGAGTATTCATTTCAGGTGAAGGTTTGTAAATTGTGTAAATTTTGGTAGAATGTTGGATTCTCTGAAATTATCACCCTTACAAAACTTGACGTAGACAAAGTTTTTCAAGAGTCATATATTTACTACTGGCTTTTATGTACATAAAGAATGCCTGGTCATTCATCCAATTTCATTTATGAGAGGACGGCATTCATTCATCTATCCATCCATTCATTCATTCCCTGTTGTTACATCATTGTCACAACAGGATTAAATTGCCCATAACTTTAAACTGAGGGTCGGTTGGGGAAGAAAGAAAGAGAAATTTAACGAAATTCGATCCAGTCCATTACTTTATGACGAAGGAGGACCAACAGCAGCAGCAGGAACGGCGTAGGTGTACTGTGTACATACATTTCCCATTGTGTTCAGCAAACAAAAGACCATTTTCCTCCGCTGGACCAACCAAACCACCCACAAGAATTGCACTACATAAACTTATTAAGTATTATGATCATCGTTTCTAAATGAAAAAGCACTCCGTGTGCGTCACTCAACCGGGATGATTTTAAGCACACGACTTTCTCTCTCTGCTGCCATATGCTGACTTTGCTGGTCATCAGCCTCCCCTGATAAATCTTTTGTTTCGTTCGAGTTGACTTGACCCATAACGAGGAGATAATGAGATGAGCCAGCATCTGCACAGGTACATTTGCGTACAATGGGTTTCGTGTGCGAAATTTGGATGGGTCATTCCGAATTAAATACGGAGATGAGGACCATGAAATGAAAAGTGGTCGTGGTTGTTGGTACGAACGTCCGTACGGGAAAGCAATTGTCGTAATGGTCAACCACCACTGCACCACCCGCTGAGCTTTAAAGGTCTCCCACGCATGAGGGAAGAAGGACAACAACAACGTGACCATTTCGGATATGACTCTCGACTCGAAGATCGGGACAGTGCGGACGGGATGAGCCTGAGATTGGACTCTGACGCCTTGCACAGCCCGCACGGCTTGTTTCTCCTTTGACTTCTCATCAACTCATCATCGTGATGGTCTCGATAAGCACTTTTGGCCTGGTCGCAGCAGGAGAGAAACTGGAGACTCGTACGTACTTGCTTATTTAGTAAACCAAAAACGGCACGTCTCTTTGTAAACTGCTTTATTGTCGACGCATTTGTACGACATGGTCGTTATAAGTAAGTATTTAAGGAGAGGTCCATTTGTTACTCGGTGTGTCGCCCTTCGTCCCAAATTTGAGCATGGAGACGATACGAGCCTCTCATTTGTCTCACGACGAGGGGAACATGACCCAGTTTACTTTGCTTTTTTTTATTTATTCGGACCACTTCTCATCTTCCCACGGATGTGTGCATATGGAAATCTTGTCCAGTCTGGATTTGCAAAAAAGTTTAGGCAAATTAATTGACCATGATTTCGAGAAAATTTGACCTTTTTGGACATAATTTTATGCATTTGTTGCCCGAATTTAATACCAAAAAGCAAGCTGTTACAACAATTTCATGTCCTGTAATTTTGACCAACTAATTAATCCTGATTTTAAGAAAATGTTACCTTATTATACATTTCTAGCCTCCATTTAATACGAAAGATGAAAGATGTTGGTTTGGTGTTGCTTTTACAGCGATTTCATGCCCTGGATCGACTACTGGATTTCATCCCATTTTTCCGAGATTCTTACCTTCTTGTCCGAGAATTCTGAGAGGATTAATCCAAGTGGGATAATTTTTTAACTACGTATTCTCTCCTCCATCCTGGTGAGAAAAGGGTCTCACTGCCGCCTCCCCCCCGTCGCGCTCTGTTGGTTTTAGGCGCCGAGAACCACGACCTAACCAGAATGCTAACTAGATTCCTCTACGTAGATCAATGCCCACAAAAACCCACAGCTTTTGGCTGGACGGGAGTCATCGTCGTCATAATCATCTCCTCTTCTTCTCCTCCACGCAATAATACTGCCTCGAGCCGGGATAATTGCCCGTCCTCCTTGGGGAGCCGTGCACTCAGAATAGCACAGCTTTTTACCCTTAAGGCCGTCCAAAAAGTGGGGGTCACACCCCTTCCGCACGCCACGTGACAGGCGAGATCCCTTAAGCCAGCAGCAGAGGTGACCAATTACTCTGAAAACGCAGAGAAATCAGACGAGACTAGGGTCCAGACCACCGCGGGAGATAATAAAAACTTCATCGAATCAATTTAATCCTGACGATGGTGATCCTGCTCCTGATTATTCGAACCAACCAACTCGTCATCTCTGCTTCCCTCTCAACAAGTTAATTCCCATCGTCCTTCCTTCCTTCCTAAGTAAATACTACATAACTCAGCCAAATTATGCATTCCTCATAAATAATGGGCAAGATTTATGGACGGGATGAAATTCTGGAGTGGAATTCCGGGACGAAATACCTTAAAAATCTCAACTCCACTAATTTTAAATACACGGTTGTGGTCATGATTGAACCAGAGATTAGACCCCACAACATTGGAACTGCTTCATCATATGTCACGCCATGGGATGGATGACTATGACGACTGACCAAACAGAGTGGCAGAGAGATTTTTGGAATCCTGGAAATTTCTAAACCTTTGTTTTAACCGAGAGGGTCGGCTAGTTTTTGATCCTCTGGCTGGTGAAATGCCTGCGCCGAGGGAATGCGGCAACCAAGGAAGAAGAAGCGATCATTATCAATTTTTAATAAGAATTCTGGTCTCTCTCATCCTGAGAAGATAGCGAACGAACGAACGGACGCATGCGATATGGGGACGAGAAAAGTGGGACTTTGTAGGGAACTTTATACACAAACGTACTTAAACGCTTGGTCAGAAAAGTGAGGAATTTGAGAATTTGTTTAAATCCAGTCCACCACGACCAAGGATTGGATGCCTGCATACCTGGGGACTTGGTGAAGAGTTGTAATTTGCCCACATCCATGCTAATTTATAATTTAGAGGAAACTCTTCACCTCAGGGAGGTGCCAGATGGTGGGAAATTGCTATATTCATAAAATCAGTGAGTCACTCTGCGGAAAGTGAAAGTTGGTGGGGTCCCTTTTTCATCGGATTGTTAGCTCAACACCCGCATAAAAATATGAGAAAGTGGACAGGCTGACGGACCGAGGATCAAATTTGTTGGACAGGAATTCTTCCCAAGCGTTGCGTTGCTTTATTGTGTATCTCAGAATGGAAAACTTCCTTCAAGTTTAGCACGTTTTCTTCACAGGTTCATCAATCATTCGAAATGCGAAAAAAGTGGTGATGATGTGAAGCAGAATTTGGAGAGTGCGGGTAAAAAAATGGGGGTGGTTTTTGGTCTGACTCTCATGCACTATTTGGAAGAGGAGGAGGAGGACTGGATCTGCATTCTCATCCAACTTTTCTCCCCGCTTTGAAGGGATCATTAAGCTGTCAATGAATGTGATTGATCTATCAACCCCGTCGTCGGCCGGCATTATCTTGGCAGCCTCACTTTCCGCAGGCAAAGGCCAACCAGACCTTTCACTCAGAGGTCACGCAGTAATTATGTCACCTAGTACTACCCCTTTTAACATGTGGCGCAAACGAGGGCCCCCTTCCACTCTATGAAGATAACTACTGCATGGGCCCTATTTATGTTTGTATACATAATCACTCACACTATTTACTACACCACGTGTAAAAGTCTGTATATTACAATTTCTTTTAAAGATGTACAGTATTTGTCCCAGGATTAAAAAAAAAACTTTTTTTTACATTAAAACTTGTTTTTTTACATTAAAACCTGACAATTTTCTAAATTTCGGGTTTGAAACCAGAACACCATTTTTATTCGCCAACAACTACTGGGTAAAGCCACCATTGAAAAGTGTAAAATAGCATTTTAACACGTGCAAATGTTATCCTTGAAATTTTAAGCTTTCAAAAATTATCTCAATTATTTTGATAATTTTTTATTCACCACATTTTTCGCTTTTTCATGCAACCGTGTGTGCAATTCACATTCTCCGTTCTCATTGTTTCCACATTTGCCGCAGCATCCTTCACGAAATGTAGAATGGGAAATGTCTGATTTTGATTGACTGTTGGCGTCGCAGAAGAGTGACGAGTCTCCTCACGGCACGATTTGGTTACCATTTATTACGAAAGAAGAAAGCAGACCTGACCTCTGCTGCAGCCTTTCCCATCGCGGTTTCTCATGCGGTTGCCGACCGACCAGCAGACCTTCCAAACTCGATGCGACATACGAACCGGAAGGCCGTGCAGGACGGATGCTGGCCTTAATTTAGACCCACGTGGGTCACCTCGTGCCAGTCTCGTTCAGTCTGCACGACCACGAGCCTAAAAAGAGGAAGGGACCAGTAGTAGCGATATTATTGAGGAGGCGGTGTTTTGTCATGGTTCGGTGTCCATGTCAATCCTCAGAGTGACATGCATGCCATGAAGATACACCAGATTTGGTCACGTTTGTGGTCAACGTATCACGAGATGTGTCACTTTTTTCGATTCTTTTCGTCCTCCCAACTAATTTCCAAGTCGCCAAAGAGCAGAAGGCAGAGAAAAATGCTTTACAAATGAGGGCGTGCAACACACACCCAGCGAGACAAAACCATTATGTGATTGCGATTACGCAATAAAATGAGTACGATTGCACAATCTAATGTAATGTACTCTGTATAGCATTTGTCAGGTTTCGTAATTTTTTGGGGGATCTTGAAGTGGTGAGAATGGAGACAAAAATAGGATAGGGAAAATGAGATTTCTTTTTTTAGTGGAATTTTCGCATTCGCATTTTGGAAATAAGTAAAAATTGCAACAAATTGGTTGTGCGATTAAGTAAACGAATGACCAGTTTTTATGCCCTAAATACTTTTTCGCTAGATTTTAAAATTCAAATAAAAAAATCCGAGATGAATAACATTTGATCAACTAGGTAAATAATTTTTTGCTAATTATCCAACATTTCTCATTCAAATACTGTCAATGAAGTACATATTTAGTATCTCTACACACTTATTGGAAT